TTTAAAATAATATACTTTTTATATTTACTATATTTATTTTAGAATAAATATATATAAGTAAAGTTATTTCTGTTGAACGGATTGAGTTGCTATAGGGTGGGGTGTCTAGAGACTTTTGGCGTATAATTTTATTTAGGGGCCGTTTTTCGCGCCAGGTGTCTGTCGAACAGCCCAGACCATTTTGGCAAAACACTGCCCATCAGGTTACATTTCACATGTGGGTGAGTCTTTTAATGATGGATGGAACTCCAGACATTGCGAAAACGGGGTAAAGTCGAAGAGGAATTCCTCCGTATCTCATTAATAGTCTTTGTAATTTTATAAACAGGACCAGGGCGGTGATCGAGAGTTGCTCTCGTATATTTGTCTAAACTGGGGGCGACGGGACATGTCCGAGCTTAACCGCCGGCTCGACGTTTCAATCCTGGGACAGCTGGCCAATCTGCACACAGCTTTGGCTGCATGGTAAGCACTAATATCTTGGCTTGTAATCTTGATTTAAGCATATTCACGTTCAAATGACAGCATGAACAGAATATGGAGTGACATTCTTGAACGCTGCTGCCTGCTTCTTGAAGCCTGCCATAAACAGTAATAAGTTGATCAGTTGCCCGCGCATCGAGATAGAGGGACTTCTAGCCCGCGCTACTTCATGGATTTCCCCGTAATATAAGCATTCCCTTGCGTCTTGATCGCCGAAAAGCACAAATGCCGTCGGAAATAAAAAAGATATTCTCGGTTTGCAGATTCCCCCCTACAAATACCTTTCCTGGTGACGTTCCTCAACTTTAAGATCATGGCGTGGGAGCGATCAGAGCCGTTTGAGCACATGCAGCAGAACAGACTCCGAATGCGCTGTTGCAAGCTGCAATCGTAGCTGGGGCCGTCGCTCCAGCGGTAGCTCCCCAGGTCGCGCCGCCAGCAGCATAGCAAGCCATCGCGACAGAGGCGCATCCTGCCTGACAGACGCCGTACGCGATCGGGCCTGCGACCGCGGTCGTTGAAAGAGAGGTGATGGCGACAAGGAGATGGAGAGGCTTCATTTTGAAGATCGCTGTTATCGCGCGTGTACGTCGCAGTGCTTGGTATTCCGTGCTGTTGGAGCCAAGGTGCTCTCGTCTTTTTGTTGTTCGTGTAAGATGATCAACTTTAGAAGTTTAGATTTCTGAAAGCTTTGAAACGCTGTCAACCATCATTTCTAGTGATTTTAACCTGAGGCGGGGTGGGTGGTCGGCCTCCCGCATAAGATCACGTCATATAACAGACCAGGCTGACACTGTCATCAGTTGCAGCCTCATTTTGAGTAAGGTACTGACAGTTACAAATCACTTCTGGCATAATATTATGATAAGTGCGTATTCCCTCCATTGATCTAGTAATAGAAAGGCTATCTATGATGGAAACACCTTTGGTACTTCGGCATAACAGCCCTTTTCCGCAGGCTAGGAAATATTGCTTTCCTCCCGAAAGCGAGCATTGCCTGTCTCGCGGCTTTGTGATCATGGTGTAGGTGCAAACAGACCAACCGATGCGCAAACCGAGGAGCACTTTCCAAAAGCCACATTACAGGCAACAACAGTTGCTGGAGCAGTTGCGCCCAAGGTAGCGCCCCAAGTCGCCCCAGCTGCTCCATAGCAAGCCATGACAACCCCAGAACAGCCGGCCTGACAGCTCCCGTATGCCGCGGGGCCAGCAGATACAGCTGATGACAAGCCGATGGCGGGTAGGACAATAAGCCTGAGTCTCATAGTGGCGATCAGTCCTGCATGTTGACAGTTAGGTATGGTTTATGACAATGTAGAGGCTTGCATGAACCTACAATATTGGTCTCAGGGTTTCCAGATCTTAGTATAATAGTGGATTATATATCTTGAAGTAAATTCTGTTCTTTTGAGAATAGTTGTATGTGTTGATTGAAGAGTTGGATCACGATGTGGTCAAAGAGAGAAGAAGGCAGTAGCCTTTGGCTGTAGCAATTGGTTAGTCACTTGGTATAATGTCTAAGTTGTGAGCTAGATGTGTTATTTGCAGTTGAGACTTGTGGCTGAGAGCTTAAATCAGCGGACAGAACTTAGAACTTCGATTTCAGGACCTAAACTTTCTTTCAATATCTCCATTTGTAATGGACTCCTGTGGCAGAGATCTTAAAACGATCACGAAGAACTACTAAGTTCTGTCCGCTGATTTAAGCTCTCAGCCACAAGTGATCACTTAGAACTTAATATCTTCCTACCACTAAAACCTGATGGCCATTCTCGGGAGTCAATAGGATGCTAACAAGATCAAAGCAAGGGGGATTATACCATCTTCTGAAGGCCAGTTATAACAGTATTCGTGGGACAAGATGGGGGTTATAATCGACAATGTTTGGCCTCCAGCGTCAAGATGCGCCATTTCACGCAACTTCAAGTCTTATGACAAGTAAGCTCGTTCAATAAACCAAATTTCTTCTATGTACTTTCATAACTTCATCAGATGAGGGGATGGCTAAACTATGCACAAAAGCCCCGCTCTCATATCCAGACAGAAACGTGTCTTATGGGGATCCCGCCGTCGTAAGTGGCTTTCGACCATAGACAAAGTAGCTAGTCATAGAGTCAGCACTACATCGTCGAATCAGTCTGAACGGACACTTACATAGGCCAATATGCATGAATCCTTGGGTTCTGTAAATCCTTTCTCACGGGAATAAGGTTATAGGTAGTTTAAAGAGGCTTTAGCCTTCAGTGCATAAAGGTAAAGAATACTAATAAATATATATAGGTAAGATACTTATTACCCTTACTATTACCTAAGATCTTAGTTTTAGCTAAAAAGTTAATATCTTAATAACTAACTTTAGAGGTATATAAATAAGTGCTACTGCTCCTTTATAAGGATAATTAGGCTTAAAGTATATAAAGTATATATAAAGTAAGATACTTAATATAAGCAAGTTTATTAACTTAAGTTAATACTTTTAAGATAACTTTTACTGTAACTATTATATATTTAATTAAAATTCTATAGCCTCTAATAGCTAGTATAAGCATAATAGCCCCTATACCTATTAACTTTTACTAACTTAACTATTAAATATATAAAAAGCTTAGCAAGAACTATAACTTTATAAGCCTTTATAAGGTTATTAAAGCAAATAGTATAGAAGATATAGTCCTTATAGATCTTATTTACTTTAACTATAGCGCCTATATATATATATTGCCTTATCTTAATCTCTAGAAGGACCCTATATATAAAAGAAGAAAGGAATTACTAGATAATATTGATAAGGTAATTAGGATTATAAAGGTATACCTAGCCTAGGTATACTATATACTGCTCTTTTAGGAGAGGGTAGATTGTAAAAATCCGGTATAAAGATAAGTTAATTGGCGAAATAAAGGAAAAGGTTAGACAGGCTGGTGGCGCTGGGCGGAAAAGCTTGTTGGAGATTCGGTCGTATTCAGGACTAGGTTTTCAGTTAAATAAAGCTTCTGCATTGAGCCACAAAGGTTTTGAACACAAAGATCCTTTCTCACATGCGCACAAAACACCCTTGTCTCTTCAGTCGACCACCCAAGCCCTCTCGTAAAATACGCCAAGGAGAGCCCATCCAACCCCCCAGCGATATTCGCACAAGCCCACGCCCCAAGCTCCTTGAACTTCTTATCTCTCGGCCACGGATTTGTTGGCCACTTCTGCTGCACCTCGACGATATCAACAAACCCAGCAGCAGCGAGGTAGTTCTTATACTCTGTCGTCGGAAACACGGGACGGCCGAGGTTTTGATCAGCTTCGAAGCAAGATCTGCACCACTTGGAGAGGTAGCTTTCTGGGTGGAGAGTCCCATCGTCGGAGCGCGCGGGGAGGGACATGTCTTGGAGTTCGAGATAGCCGCCGGGCTCGAGGTTGTCGAAGGCGACTTTGATGATCTGGGGGAAGTCGGTAAAGCAGCCGAGCATCATACGGGCAAAGATGAAGTCGAATTTCCGAGTCCAGGTCCATTCTTTTTCGAGGTCGTCTATTTCGAAGCTGACGTTTGGTGGGACGCTGAGACGGGCAGTCAGTATTTCATCACGCGGTAGAATGCCAGAGGCTTTACGTACAGAGCCGGTTGAATTGGGCTCAGGTCAACGCCGATAACCTATAAAGTCAGTAAGATTCAGCTACGCGACAATGATTGAGTTACCTCTGCCTGAGGGTTTGCATCAGCTAGACACATGTTAGTGCTTAATGTCACTACATGCATTGCAACATCTTACCGTAGTCAATCGCCCATGAGCCAGTCCCGGTCCCCATATCCAGGACACGATTCGCGCCTTTCGCTTTGGGACATACAGCAAGGTCTCCGTCGAGCGTTCGAACATAAAGCTCGTGTTGTAAGTCTAGATATGTCAGCGTTGCCCCATCATTGTGAGTCACGACATACCTAGTCTTTCATTCTCTTCCTTTCATTCAGTCAGTAACATTCATTATGCAAAGTACCCGATCCGGTATCGAGTCTGTTGATCAAACCTACTTCGTCATTCGGCAGGACATATTCTACGACTTGTCAGTTCTTTGCTACCAATCGGCACGAGATTATCTTACTCCCGCTACTCAAAGCATGGTAACTTCGACCGTTTTCTTGTCGGTATGCCAAAATACTCGATGAGATTGAAACGACCGATGGCTCTACTTCCTACACATGATCAACATACGTCATTTTGAGGCTCCGTCAAAGCGTAAAGTGACCCATGACAAGCGCGAGTCAATGAAACATACCTCGCCAATTGAGGAGTCGGCATCGTCGTCGTCACCTGCAGCAGCCTATGGACGTGTCAAATCAGACCCGCTCATGCATGAAAATAGAGGGGCAGGAATAGGTATCTCACGATAGCATCTTGGATTTGGATGACAGGCTCTGGGGACGGGGTGCCCCCCTCGTGCTGGGACTCTTGAAGTGCCATTGTCGATGGGGCCAGAGTGTGATTGAGCTGTGGATCACGGAGGATTGATTGAAAGGAACGCCCCCTCTTTCTTATTTTTGTGCCGGGCCGTTCCTTGTGTAGCGTGATGGGCTTTTCTGGATCGGAACGTGGCGTTACTGATGTTCCGCCAATTCATTTGGGCGGGGATTGCTTCCGAAATGCGCCATCGATGTGCAGAATCATATCATTTAGGGGTCTTGGTCTGCCGTTGGCGGTACTATTGCACTAACTGACTGCCGTACTGAAAAACCATGAACCTGTTAGAGAAGCTGTACTGCCTGATATGAGTGGTTTTTATCAGCGTCAAGCTCGGTAGCGTTCATGCGCCTTCTAATCAACATGATCTGATTGGACAAAGTCCGTTAAGGCCCTGCGCCGTTACAGGGTATCTTGATCTCCAACGGCGTCGTCGGCTGATTAGTCTAGATTAGTCTGATTAGTCAATTGCTCCTGGACGAAATGGCTTCTCTTCCTTCGCCCGCTCATCACGGTTCGAGGCACTGCTCAAACACCTTTCAAGATGAGCCCTGAAGGCGACACCTCTGCAGGCTTTCTGCGCGATGTCTGGCAAGGCGTTGCCGACCATCCTCGGGCCGTCATTGCTACAGCGGCTCTTGGGCTAGTGGTTCTCTTCGTAGCTGACACGTTGCGCACTTGGTACCGGCTATCACATGTTCCTGGTCCATTTTGGGCGGGGTTCTCCAAAGCTTGGATGGTGAGACAATCCTTCAAGGGAACTCAACCTTATGCGATTCAACAAGCCAATGAGAAATATGGTATGACTTTGATTTCGCTCTTAACAGGAGTAGCTAACTCTATCTCTAGGATCCCTCGTGCGCATTGGGCCAAATGAGCTGGCTACGGATGATCCCAAGCTGCTCAAGCGCATGATGTCAAGTCGCTCTGCCTATACAAGAGGGCCTTGTAAGCTCTTCCTATCTTCAGTTGATGGTGTATGTAATCATGGATTGACAGTTGAGGACAGGGTACAATGCTCTTCGCTTCGAGCCTGGAAAGGATAACCTCTTCTCCATGAGGGATGATGACGCCCATGCAAAGCTGCGCAACAAGATGGCCGCTGGTGTAAGTCCTCTTCTAGACCAACTGCCGTGATATGAAGCTTAACTCTGGAGCCAGTACTCTGGCAAAGAAAACGAGTCTCTCGAGCGCACCATTGATGAGCATATCGCTAAACTCATCAACCTCCTGGAAACAAAGTATCTCTCAACGAATCAAGACTACCGCCCGGTGGACTTTGCGCAAAAGATCCAGTTTTTCACTCTAGATGTCATCAGCGACCTCGCCTTCGGTCAGCCATTCGGATACATCGAGCAAGATGACGACGTCTTTGACTTTATCAAGATCACAAAATCTTACTTTCCTGTAACTTTGTTCATTGCAAATATCCCGTCGCTAGTGTCTCTACTGCATTCGCGACTATTCAGTGGTGCGTTGCCGAAGGAGAGTGACAAACTTGGCTTTGGTGCCTTTATTGGGTAAGTCTGTCAGTAGCAGCCTGCAGGAAGCTGACAATGGAAGCGTCGCAAACAAGAAAGTCGCGGAACGATTTGCGCCAGGTGCCGAGTCGCGTCCAGATATGCTCGGCTCATTCATTCGTCACGGTCTGACACAGGAAGAAGCATCGCGAGAGTCCCTGCTCAATGTCGTCGCTGGAAGTGACACCTCAGCAACTACCATCCGCCTCATCATGCTCAGCCTCCTGAGTAATCCCACTATGTACCTCAAACTTCAAAACGAAATCGACAACGCAATCAAGGCTGGAAGTATCTCATCACCTATCACCGACGCTGAAGCCAGAAAACTCCCCTATCTCCAGGCCGTCATTCAAGAAGGTCTCAGAATCAAAGCTCCAGCAGCTGGGCCACTGTTCAAGCAGGTTCCACCACAAGGCGATGAGATTGATGGAAAATTCATCCCCGGAGGTACACAGATCGGGCAATCACCATTTGCTGTTTATCACTCCAAAGAGACTTTTGGTGAAGATGCGAGTCTCTTTTCGCCTGAACGATGGATCAATGCAGATCCTGCGAAATATGAAGCTATGGCTGAAATTGTCAGTCTTGTATTCTCGACCGGAAAGTACCAGTGTCTGGGTAAACCGGTTGCGTTTATTGAGCTGAACAAGATCTTTGTTGAGGTGAGTTTCGACTGCGTGAAGAGAAGGCTTGAGACTAATCACGCCTGGCAGTTGTTGCGACGATTCGACTTTTGTATGACACGTCCTGAGAGACCTCTTCATATCATGAATGCTGTATGTGGTCTACTCGAATTTGACATTGTGGCTACTGACTGGTGACGTAGGGAATTTGGCTAATTGAAGACTTCCCTGTTCGCATTACACGACGGGAGGCTTGAGTCCTCCAACCTGCGTATCTATCATTCAGAACAACATAGCTTTAAAATTGATCATCAGCCTGCTTAGGATGGATAAGAGTGTTGATCTACTATACCGTCTGTACCTCCGTAAAGCCAGGATAGTTTACAGTTGTGTGGTGCAGACTACGATCACCAAGTTGTTTACCCTGAAATATTTCTAGTCTCATCAATCTTCGCTTGAGCGGAACCATGATTGGCTCGAGTTCTTAGCGGTCTAGATCGTTACGGAGGATCCATCGATGAAATTTAACGTGAAGGCTAGTACCTGGGCTAATGAACTAGCTGAAGCAGATCGTCAATAGCGTCAAGCCTCACTGAGCTAGCTGTTACGTGGGCGAATTAACCCCTGACAGAAGATGAATAAAAACAAGGAATCCGCCTTTCGTAACTGCATGATCAATTTTGTTTTCTAACCTCTCTTTCAATCCCCCAATCCAACTCTTGTCATTCTTTATTGTAACAAAAATGCGGTTCCGCAACCTTTTTGCGGTCTGTCTTGCGACTGATGTCGCATTGGCTAGCGTTTGCAAACCTCGACCTTCTGCCAGTTCTAGTGTGTTTCCCTCTTGGAAATATGTTCGTGGATCATTTCTAATAGCGAATAGGCGTTATGACTGTCGAGAGTGCAACCTCGACCATTTCTGCTACCGCTCCAACGACGACTGTCCAAGCTGAATCGACCACTGCTACCTCTGCCGATCTGTCGACTACTCTCACGTCTACTGTTGATGACGAGACTACAGCGGAGGCTACAGAGACGGCTACTACCATCGAAACATCCGTGACTGTCGGTTTATCGACTACTGCCATTGAGACAACAGGCACTACAGAGACCGCCAACACAGAGACCGCCACTACAGATACTACAACCACGGATGGTGCAGCCACTGATGAAACCACAACAACTGCTCTGGCTACGTCTGCTGAGACAACTACAGCCGATGCCACCACCACAACCGCGGACAACTTCGACCCAATCCCAACGTTCAACGTCCTCGCTATCGGCGCGCAAGTCGATGGCCAAAAGCTCAGCGGCGAGGTAGAACCAGGCTACGACATGGGATGGAACCTCCCAGGCGCACCGCAGATCCTCGCATTCTCCATTGAACCAGACACAAGCCAAGTCAGAGAAATCGGCGGAAACTATCTGTGCGTCCGATACACCGACAGAGACATCCACTTTCTCACGCTCTGTGATCCCGGCACGGAGACCAACTTCATGGGCGGTATTGCTAGGGTTACATGTGAGCAGACTCGCGATCAAAGGCTGGAGTGCTCGGCTCCTGCTGGGCAGTGCATGGACGACCCTCTTACTGGTATTCCGATTTGCTCGGCCATGCCTGGGACGTTCACGGGATTTTATGCGTATTCTGGTGGGCCGACAGGAGTTACTCTTGCCATGGGACGGGAGGATATTGCTTCTACTACTGATACGCAGTCTGTTGACCTTGGGATTGAACCTGCTTCTGATGATACATAGGTAGCTACCAAGGGCCAGAACAACATTCCTTCTCCAAATTCTCTGTGGTCATATAAGCTCTCAGCCACAAATAACTCATCTACCATCTTCTCATTTCTTCTCCTTTACATAAACTTTCTAACTACTCCGTATATCATATTTAATGACTCAGTAATTAAGTTAATTTTATAGTTTTCCTAGCTCTGAAATCTTAGTCTAAGAACTTCCAGATCGTTCATCTTAGTATAGCGCTATTGACTCTTAACTATCCCTGCGGCGTTTTGTTAGTTTCTGATCTATTGCATTAGCCACGTCTCGAACGTCAATAGCGCTAAGCCCTCAGGTAACAGGGCCATAAGTGGCAAATGAGCAGCTGCAGTAGCCCATCGACCAGTGCGTTCAGAAACCATTTCAATTCTTGTTTCCTCTCTGCTCTGATACCAGCCTTTATCCAACTTCTAACGCTCACTTATCATTACGATATGCGTTTTTGTCTTGTTTGGTTAGTCGCGCTTGAGGCAACTGCTGCAGTGGCGAGTGTTTGCAAGCCTCGGTCGAGGGACACGAGTAAGTCACTACCGATAGAGAGTCGCATGGTCAGAAATCTCATTTAGCTATTAGGCATCGCGTCGGTGGAATCTCGCACAGTCATGATCATTTCCGAGACTCACACCGTCGAGAATAGCCACACAACTACGTTGGATGTCTCTACTCGCGGAGCCACGTCTACCGTGGATGATAGTACGACAGCGGGTACAACTGAAGTCTATACACCGACGTCAGGAATATCATCTTCCCCGACTACAGTGACTATAGATGCCACCGAGATTAGCATCACGGCCGACGCCACGACAGCTGAATCAACTACAACTTCAGACCCAACTTCGAGCGTAACAGCACCCGAGCCTTTCGAGACGTTCGACGTTCTTGCTGTTGGAGGCGGCTCCATTGATGGAAAATACATCAGGGGCGTGGCAAATGAGGGCTCGATGATGGGTTGGAATCTCCCAGACAGCGGAATAGGCTACATGCCTACATTTATCATTGAGCAGGGCACAGACTATGCCAAAGCGACGCGCAACAATCTTCACCTATGCATTGGATACGGAGACGGTAGCGAGCCCAATTATGTCGCGACATGCGACCGTGATACCAACGGTGGCCCTACCACTGGGTTCCTCACATGTCAGCAGACCACCCATCGAAAGCTCAAGTGTTCTGTGCCAGGGGTTCAGTGCGTCTTCGGGCCGGAAGCGGTCTGCACGCCCACTGGTGGAGACTTTGATCGGTTTTACACTTATTCTGGGCGATCGGATGGACTTTGGCTTGCGATCGATTCGAGCAGCAACCCTCCTACTGATAGCGCCTATCAGCCCATTGAGCTTGGCATTACCCCAAATCAGTCCAAGTAGGGGCTCTGGCAAAGTATTGGGGATATTAATGTAGTATAGCTGGGGGACTCTGTTAATACGTCTTGGACTAGGGTAAAGTGGTTAATGACTTTGTGTTTATATGAACTCAGAAATACCATCAATAACTTTTGTGGTTTCTATCTACTTAAATCAGGTTTATGAGTAGCCAGCTCACTCCCAAAATCACTCCCTTTGACTGAATGTGCAATAATGCCGCGCTCGTCACTGTCCCGACTTGCTTCTGTTTGTGGCCCACCAACAGAAATAATTTGTTCAGATCTAGATGCGTCACTCTTCCAAATACCTGGACGAGGGCTTCGAGCAGCTATATCTGACAAGTTGTAGCCCTTTGTGGGAGCACCCAGCCCTGTATAGTACAAGGAGCTCTTTTTGGTTGATCCGAAAATGCGAGGGAACAGTTTACCCATGGGTTGTCGTAGCACCGGCAAACAAGCGGCAATGATTCCCAGGTTAGCTTCGATCAGAGTCCATACGCCGCGATCGATGAAGTTCCATGTAATGTCTTTCTTATTCCTGAGAGAATTAGAGACCGAAGTTACTCTGAGGATTGATGTGATGGTAACACTACGACATTGGTTAGTTCTTGTCTGGAGATATTGGTGTTTGTACGTACAATCCACCAAAAAGAAAGATGCAGCAGAGCAGCAGTTTCTCCCGTCTACTGGTCTGAAGCCGCATGATAGGCAGGATCGGAAGAGCCAAGACCATAACGTCAGTCAAGATGTTGAGGACAGCGTAAGCAACCCAAAACTTGTTCGAGTCGATGCACTTGGCATCGACAGACTTGTCCCAAGCCCCTTTGATAGGGACGCATTGCCAAATTGTCGCTGCAATACCACCGATACTGTATCCCACTACAACTCCCAGCACGACAAAAGACCAAACACGAAACGATTTTGTGACAAACAGTCGGAGGTATAGTAGAATCGCGGCGACTTTGTTGAGACAGACAGTTGCTTTGTACGGTGTCTGGGCGATGAAGAACATCTTCAATGCCATTCGAAGATCGGGCTTTACGAGGTCCTCTTTGTGCATTCCGTAGCCATGGTGTATCGCAAGTTGTATGTACGTCGACAGAAGAACAGATGATATCTTGAGTAATTAGCTACGGTGCCGTTGGGAGGACCGACCAACTTACCAGAGAAACAATAATGGCAACATCGTCTGATCCCAGCTTGTGTATCGAGTACCGCGCAATACATCTCGCAATGACAAACAGACCTGAAGAAATGATCATCACTAAGGATGTGATGTATAACTTCCAGCCATGATTGTCGACGCCATCGGCGGGAAATCCCATGCCTCTGTCAATCATTTTGGTGGCTGCATCCTACACGGACGGGCTAGAGGGGCCAAGGAGGACCCCCAGTATATAAAGTTGTGCGGACATTGGTTCCAACAGCGCGGCACAGCCAATGGTGCAATAGACCTATGTCACTCGGCATATCATGGTATGATGGAGACCGGTACTACTACAAGCAGTACCGGCCATCGTGTGTTGATTCTAAAGTCCCAAAGACATACCTTCAGAGGCAACGGAAGTCTTACCACATTGCCGGCTCAATAGAGTGAGTAGGTAGAGAATGACGACAGGGCAAGCGAAGAATGCGTAGCAACCAGCCTGTCTTGGTAGTGAGGGAATAGAATCAATCTCCGAAGAAGAAAGGATAAACGGTCCTTTTGACTGCAGTTTGGGGTGAACCAACCTGTTGGTGGTGTCATTTCATGCAGGGGTGAGGCACGGCGAACTGTTCCCCGGAGGTTGGGTAACTCGGACTGATCACGAGCCCTTGAGGTATTAAGGACACAGAAATACGAGTGACAACTGCGATCATGATGATCTCACGGGCAATTGGAATGAAAATTGATTCTAGCAATTGGCTTGTAGCTTCATTCTCTGTCCATTGTTTGCGGGCCGTGCCCCTGTCAAACCGTTGATCCGGGAAGGTCGGCCGCTAAGTTCATCCTGACCTGGTCACATCCTCTGTGGGTTCCTCTTCAAGGCACTTCTCCGATGCGCGTCTCAATGGTTAAATAAAGTTCCCAAATCTCCCCATCCTAACTTGAGACAGTGACTTTTGCCTTCTGTCACCCCTGCGCCACTGCATCTCCAACATGTACGCGGTCAATTGGGCTTTTGCATTCGCCCTTTGGGCAGGTCTGGCTGCTGCAACACCGAAATGCAACCCATCCAAGTACCTCACTGTCGAGACGGCCAATGGACCGATCACTGGCCATGTTGCGGATAATTCACCGTGTGTCGTTGAGTATCTGGGTATTCCGTATGCGAAACCGCCGGTGGACAAGTTGAGGTTTGCGGCTCCTCAGCGTATCACGTCTTACACCAAAAAGCCTTTCAAAGCGGAGAGCTTTGGATATGATTGTCCATTGACGGCTAATAAGAAGGTGGATTATCCTGATATGACACCCCAAGCCCAGCGGATCATCTCATACTTTGCCAGCGCAGCCGGAACCCCCCAGAGTGAGGATTGTTTGACACTCAACATCTGGTCCAAGGCCACGCCCAACTCTGCCAGATCAAACAAGCCTGTGCTGGTCTTTTTCTATGGTGGACGTAAGTTTCTAGTGGGTTCTGTATCGAGACCGAAACTGACCTGGTGTTATAGGTTTTGCTATCGGCAACACAGACAGTCCTTTCTACAATGGCAAATACTTTGCTGACGCAGAAGATATCGTCGTCATCACCGTCAATTACCGTATCAACATCTTCGGCTTCCCCGGTGCACCCGGCGAGACTCAGAACCTAGGTCTACGCGATCAACGAGCCGCTGTCGAGTGGGTTCGCGACAACATCTGGAGATTCGGCGGCAACCCCTCAAAGATCACCATCGCTGGCCAATCTTCCGGTGGCGTAGCTGTTGACTACTGGACATATGCCTACAAGAAGGACCCAATCGTCAATGGGATCATCGCTCCCTCTGGAAATGCCTTTAGTTTCCCTGGCAACTCCGTTGCAGTCCAAGAGAAGAACTGGGCTTCGGTTGTGTCAGCTGTAGGATGTAATACTACCAGTGACGTGATGTCTTGCATGCGCAAGACCGACTGGGAGGATATTAAGAAAGCTGCTGCTGGTATAAGGCCTGCTGCGAGCTCTAGCGTACTCCGGTCCATCCCTCCGTTCTGGCCCAAGCCAGACAACGAGGTTGTTTTCTCCGACTACGTTAGCCGAACCAAGAGCGGAAACTTTGTCAAAGTCCCCATTCTGTTTGGCAATAACAACAACGAAGACGGATACTATCGTATTCCCGCTTACGGAAATGGTGTTGTTCCCACTGACGCCCAAGTGAAGTCGTTCCTTCTCGAATCCTTCACCTGTCCGGTATCCTACCAGGCCAAGGCGCGACGAGATCACAGTGTCCCGTCATGGGCGTACCGATATCTGGCAGACTGGGATAATACGAGATTGTTCCCTACAAGTGGCGCGTACCATGGAGTTGATCTGCACATGATCTTTGGCGCATCTGTCGATGTTAGCGGTATTGAGCCATCGGCCGACCAGAAGAAGCTCACCAAGATCATGCAGCATGCTTGGTTCTCTTTTAGCGATGATCCTTGGTCTGGACTGAGTAAGCTTGGCTGGCCGAAATTTGATCCCAGTCGTAAGACCTTGATTGAGCTGGGTAAGGGCACGAAGCCCCGTGTCGACTTTGTGAAGCCTTCTGTCTATGACGCTCCTTGCTCAACAGTCACGATGGGGGCGTTTTCAACTTCTACGTAGGATATAATATTTCTCGCACGCGCCTTTGGTAACCCAAAGAGCATTCAACCTTATACCAACAATAGCATTTTGAAGTCTGTCACTCTCCATTGGTAGTTGTGTCGCTAGAGGTTTCTTCGCGATATGTCCCTACCTCAATAGACACCCCCAAAAACAATACATCGTCAAAATGGCATTAGCTTCATATAAATTTCCATGAATGAGGAATTGAACTCAAGGATTGTGGCATCATTCCTTCAATCGAATGCGCTATCACCAGCCACTAACTAGGTGGGCAGACACTCTTCTATCCTTGACCCTAGCGCCTCGGATAACAGCGCACGGCCATGTCGCATCTCATGTAAGAAGCAAGACTAGTAACCAAGAAAATCAGGCCTCACTCAGCAAAACTGTTGAGAAGCAGTAGACAATAGAGCAGGTGCCTGGTCCAGGACAGAGATAGTGGTAAACAGGTTCGCCACATGTCTCAGTCTGATGTCCGTGAGAAAACGGAAGGATAGGACTATCAGATAGTGTTATCACATTCCTAACAGCGCGTCGTAGCATACTAAACAATTTAAGCTTAATTTACACTTTTTATGGTAAAACATGCATGAGGTGTCTCTAGTTCGGCAGTCTGGACAAGTCTGGGGCTTGACGTGAGGAGTGTCGGGACTTGGTGCTCCGATAGAGCATCTCACTGTGATTCGTTCCCCTCACCACCATCTTGTAGAATTCAGCCAGCCACGGGCGGGATATGAAGTGCCTTTACCCGGATTAGGGACTCGTCCATCGCTCACGCTCAGCCGCAAGCCTCTTCATGCAAGTGTAAACAATTGTCACATATGATTGTCTCAATTGGACACCCACTTTAGAGCAAAACTGCCCATGTGAGATCAAGGTGCCAGAATTATCCAATCCAATACTTACTAAGTCTACACTAAATCGCACTTCATTAACCCAAGTAATTTTATCACCTGGGATAGTGGTCTTAGATTTCTTTGCGCCCTTATGCCACCTTCTTCGCTAGTAGGAGCCTTGGCAATGCTGCAGTCACGGACAGTCGACATAGCAAGGAATCAATTATGTAATGCTAATAGGGCTGAGAAGGTTGTCGGCTGATCGATTCCTGCTTTTCAGCCGCACATTTAGACATGGTCCTTGGAGAGTCATACACCTCCTACCATTGAGACAGGGTGCCAGAACGAAATGGTCTAAAGATCTACTGAAGTATACTAAGTTCACCTTAATCTTTTCGTCACTTAGGGTAAAGGCTTTAGGGTTTCTTACTTTCCCTTGTTGGGTACATATCTTGTCTCACTTGAGAGGGGGGCATCCGTTTTCTGAAGGAGAGGCGCTTCATCGTTGCCGCTGCCTGTCAAGGTCGTTATAAGACTCTCTCTCGTCCTGTCCTTGATCACATCACTCTTAACAGTGACAGTTCCATCTCACAGATTCATCCCACAATCCCTTATACTCAACCCATTCACCATGTCTGGCCCTACCATCAACGGAAATGCGTTCTCCGTCTCATCCCTCCCGGACGGCCCTGAGCAGTCAGGCGGGGACGAGATGAGACTCAACCATCTCCCCGAGAACACTAATTACATCGTTCTCGAGACCCAAAACCCTCTTCAGAGGCCCGAGAAAAGAACCCTCAAAGACCTCCACGTTGAGCTACATGAGTATCTCGGCGGCAACACCTGGCTCTGCCGCTATGAGCCCACGGACATCAAGTCCCTGCGCGACCTTGCTTTCGTCAAGGATGCGAAGCCCCTGCAGCCAGAGCTGAAGCTCCAGCCAGCTCTCAAGGATGATGCGGCTGAGGGTCGTACTGTTGACATCGTCCTTCAGAATCGTGCGGATGATTCGGCTGAGGATATCTCCCAGCGTATCCAGGATTCTCTTGGAATCTCACCTGAGGATATTACCATCAGAGATGGTGCCTCTGTCATTCGTCTGACGGGCAACAATGACAAGCTGCAAGAGATCGCCAAGATTGACAGTGTTGGGTCCATTCAAGAGGTACATAAGCTCACCTTCTTCAACAACGTTGCACGTGAGATTCTCCATGCCGATGCCACTGGTCCCAACACCACCATATTTAAAGGAGCCAATCAGATAGTCACCGTCGCTGACACTGGCTTTGATACTGGTGATAAGAACAAGACCCATGAAGCCTTCACCGGCCGTGTTAAGAAGCTCATCCCCGTCGGAAGATCCAACCAGACTAATGACTTCGATGGGCATGGCACGCATGTTTGCGGCTCTGTTCTCGGAGATGGGCACTCTCAGAAAATGGGAGGTTCAATCCAGGGCACTGCACCAGAGGCGACTCTCATTGTCCAATCCCTCTTGGACAGTCGCGGTGGCTTGTTCGGCCAATCTCAGAAGACTCTCGGCGACCTCCTCAAAGAGGCGTTCGATCACCAGAGTTTCATTCATACCAACTCTTGGGGCCCCATCTGGACGCGCCAACTTGGGTACAACAACGCAAGCACAGACCTCGACACTTTCGTCTTCAATCATCAAGAGATGACGGTTTGCTTTGCTGCTGGCAACGACGGAAAGGAGATGACTCCTCTTGGCCACATTGGTGCACAAGCAGCAGCCAAGAACTGCATCGCTGTTGGGTCATGCGATAACCGCCGCAAGGCCAAAAACAACGAATTCGAGGCCTTCAAGGCCGATGGGGTTGTCGAAGGTAGTCCCAACAACATCTCACGCTTCAGTAGTCGCGGGCCAACGATTCAGGGACGGATCAAACCTGACGTCGTTGCGCCAGGTGCCATGATTCTGTCGGCAATGTCGAGAGATGCGAAGCCAGATGACAGATTCGGTCGTTCAAGTGACCCTTCGTGGGCATTTAGTTCGGGCACTAGCATGGCTACTCCGCTTGTCGCAGGTTGTGTTGCCGTTCTCCGAGAGACGCTGCAGAAGGATGGAGTCACTTCCCCAAGTGCCGCGCTGCTCAAAGCCTTGCTTGTCAACGGCGCTGTGGACACGGGCAACAGCTCTAAAGCCCAGGGCTTTGGTCGCGTTGATCTTGCTAACTCCATTATTCTCACGGGCATAACTACCAACAAAGGCTACGTGGAGGCCGAACTTCTTGACGAGGATAACGAGGACGAGTTCATCAAGATACTCACCCTGGGAGACCTTCTTATGCCCGATGGACCAGATTCGGAGACTGTTACGTTGAAGGTCACCATGGTGTATTCCGATCTTCCTGGTGCTGCTTTGCAGAACAATATTAATCTTCAGGTTGCCGTTGGCGATGGGCCGAGCAGATTTGGAAACTTGGGTGATAGACCTGATGATGTCAACAACGTGGAGCAGGTTATTTGGAGTGGTATTCCCGCGGAGAGTGATACCAAGATCACGCTCAATGTGTCTACGCCGAGGACTATGCGTGGCGATAAGCAAGCTTTTGCTATAGTATGGAGTGTGATTTAATGAGAGCTTGCCGGAAAACTTAGGATCTTGACCTTGCCCGATGAAACTGTTTCGGTCCTTTAGCCTAAGCCTAGTGTGTTAATTGCTAAATTTATTTTGGGATCTTCCTCTAGAATAAGCAGTTCCTTGCTCTCAAGGCAGACTTATCACGGTGCATAGAGACTGGAGTATGGTTACTTGTTTCGATAGCAACCAGGAATTCACAGCGTTTGCATACAGAGTGAATAACAAGGTAAACAGCTCCATACTTTTGCTTTGACAGAATGTTCCGAAAGTGCGGCTGAGCCGTGTTAACCGGGTCGGCCGCCTCTCGGGGAGACGAGACTGGACGAGCTTGAGCACTGCCTCGAGATCGACAATTTGAGAAATTCTTCGCGAGGAAAGTGGTTTCATTTTACCTTCATTTAAAAACATTTGTTATTGTTTTGTTTCGTAGTGGCCTGGATCAGGTTCGTGTCTTGGGATCTAGTTGTTGCGATGATGCCAACCTTGAACGCAAACTCACAGGAGCAATACGAGCATGGCCACGAATCAAAAGGTAGCCTGTTTTTTATGCATGTTGAAGATGCTTATTTCCACCTAGCAAAAGTCTTATTAACGTTGTTATTAAATCCGTGAATACCCGAAGGTCCACGCGATGATGATGATGATGCCAGCCTTGTAGGGCAACCATAGTGGAGCCCGAGATTGAGATCTGCGCGCTCTGTTGTTCCTAAACAACCTTCTTCTTAAACCCACAGTTGCGATTCTCCCTCATGAGCTGTATTGAATATGCCTTGTGTTTCATGAAAGTAGTCCTCGTGAATAAGCATCAATGCTCGGCCCGAGTTTGCTGGTGATACACGGCCCGAAGTCGTTACTCAGCAATGTCGTCCCACAAACAACCAGTCACAAGCGGCCGCTGCACTGCCACAGACTCCGAAGCAAACGTCATCTAAACATCGTATACTTAAATGCCGCGTTTTAAAGCCCGAATCCTTCAAATATTTTTAGGTAGCGTGAAACAAATCCACGTGGTTTGTGGCTTTGCCCCCTAGCTTGATGCTCCATCATTCGAGGCTAGCAGTTAATGGTCATGACGAGCGACCAAATGGGCTCGGACGATACTTGGGACGAATCACCTTTCTTAGAAATGACATTCCAGAACATCTAGTAGAAAGGGACCACTTAGCCAAGTCAATATTCGTGCATTCAGTGAACTAGTGACCGCCTATTGGAAAACCAGCCGCGATGGAGAACAAGTTTAGATGTACTTCGCTATCTCAGCCTCGTCTTCATGTGAATCTACCGCACAGCCCAAGAGGATCATAACCCATGTGCATCAAACAGTACCGTACGACGTGTTGAAACACCCGTGACGAATATCCGGACTAACAAAGCTCGTATTTCCTTCCTAGAGGCTTGAGATTGGTCTCCAATGGTCGATCATGGCCAGGCAGTCCACAGGTCGGCCGACGCTAGACGCACGTAGCAATACTTGTGCCATGCCAAGTCGGCAGTCAAGATATTTCCGAAGCTTCTAATAAGAACATTGTACAGATCCGCCAACTGATGGTCAACATGTATTGCATTTTAGCTATGTTGTATCTTAATCACAATGCTGATAGGACATTGCCGACGGCTCTTCATCGTCTACGCCTCCTTGGCTATTCTGTGGGTCTTCTTGTTCCAGCTCTGCAGACTCTACACATTCTCCGATCCTTCTTCCTTCTTCTATGACTCCAACCGAGCCTACGAGACGCGATACAGTGCTATTCGGCAGCACCAAGCCGATGAACTACTCGATGTTGCCGAACACTTCCCGATAGAAGAGCTAGCTAAACTCCCTCTTTTCAACAATGCTGCTGAAGCAATACCGCGAGACTCAGAGAAGCGTGTTTGTGTCGGCATACCGAGTGTCACGCGAGAACGAGAGCAGTTCCTGCCCAGAGCTGTGGCCTCACTAGTCCAAGGTCTCAGTCTCGAACAGAGACAGGCGATACACGTCATTGTAATGCTAGCAGACAATGATCCAGAATCCCATCCCGCCTTTGGGAAACGATGGCTAGACCGCCTGGTTGATGAGGTCCTCGTTTACGGCAATGCTTCGACAACCGATGCCCCCAAGCAATACCGTACCGTCGCATCGGATCATATCCTTGAGCTCTCCCGAAACGATCGAGTCCACCGCGATTACGCTACGTTAATGACAGCCTGCCAAGAACAAAAAGCACAGTATTTTGCTTTGGTTGAGGACGATATCATTGCTGCGCACAACTGGCTAGGGCGACTATCTACTGCCTTGGACAAGCTTGAACGAACCGAAGACGCAAAGAACTGGCTGTATCTGAGACTGTTCTATTCCGAAACATACATGGGCTGGAACGCTGAGGAGTGGCCGACCTATCTCGTAAATTCGATATCGGTATACTGTATCGTCTTGGCACTATACTTCCTCGTAGTGACTATAGATACACGACGGAGGTCCCAGACCTTTCACCTAAAGTCTACCCTCTGGGCCTTACCACATGTCACATTCTGGGCAGCGTCCTTCATCCTCTTGTACTTTCTTGCCGGTCGCCTTGCAGTCAACCCGTATCCAAGAGGCATTCATGAGATGCCAAACTACGGATGCTGTGCACAGGGTCTAGTGATCCCTCGGCAACATCTTGACGCGCTCGGTGCTGCCCTGAACAACGCGTCTGATGCTGTTGCTGGCGACTCACTCATAGAGTCTTTCGCTGACAGTCATCATCTGAGGAAGTATGCTATCACGCCAAGTGTACTGCAACATGTCGGAAGGATGGGATCATCGGATGTTGGGGGGACTCGCAAGGTTACGTGGAACTTTAGCTTTGAGAAGACCATCGCCAGGAGATCATGGAATTAACAGACTTGTGATGTTCAATTCAAGTTCAGTTCACATCAGACATCATATCAGTTCACCCTCCGCAGGATCCCTCATCAGGCTTTCCCAGAGATCTTGTCCGTACGGAAAAGACATCTGATTCCCCTCACCAGGGTTTACTTCAACCCCATCGTCATCGGCTAACGCAACGCGGCGTATAGTATCTCCAATATCCACCTCAATGTCCGATGAGACACCCGATGTGTGCTCAAGCTCCATCAGCGCTCTGAGTAATCGAACTCCTCTCCTGGCGATTGAGCTTCCCTGTTCTTCCTTACCAAGGAAGGTCTTCCCGAACTCAACATAAGCACGTAGCCTCTCCCAGTCATGCGTGAGGGCATTCCGGGCCTTGAATAGTAAAGCAAAGAGGAGAGTGATGGAGCAGCTGATCATGTACGACAGCGTAGTCCACATTCTGCGGCAGATGCGTGCCTCAAGACAGTCGGGCCATCGCTGGAATGCTTCGATGCTTCGTTCCGCTATCGTCACACATGAGAGCTGCAGCGGATCAGTGATAATCCCATAGTAGACCATGGGCACTTACTTGAGAGAACGCGTATTGTCTGTCCCGGAAACACGAAAGTTGGAATTGGCGATGAACGATAAAGATCTGTCGAACTTCTTAGCCACGAACACATTACATCCTCAGCTTTCACTACTTTCTGGGCAATACTCATGAGAAGCATCGCCGGCATTAGACCCGTAGGCAAACCATCGGTTGCTGGATTGTCGCTTGGCGTAGTATTGACCTCACGTAGCGTATTAGACCATGAGAGATACAGGGTCTTGATCTCCTCGTCCGCTCGGATGACTTCATCATATCTTCCATCAATGTCATCAGTCTCTATACTTCCTTGCTTTAACATGCGATCATGATGTCTCCACATAACAACAGACACTGTGAAAGTTTGGTTAGCCTGCGTCGTTCATGTTGAGCTGACTAGCCTTACTCTGGGCAAGGCAATTCGTCCAAGTAGTAATGGTGCAGATCTCAGCGGGCTGTGCATCGACTCTGCCACCTTGTGTCATGCGCTGCTCATCGTCATGGCAGTTAGCGGGCATCGGGGTGTTGAACTACGAATAATGAATCTGGCAAGTATTCTGGAATGGTATTTGCAACCAGTCGTACCGAACGAGAAACCACCAAACTCGCTTTCGCACTTCGCGGTCGATGGGCTCATTCACACCAGCACCATGGTCATCATGACCCAGCCTGTGCAGGTTCAGACATTGAGCGATGCGAATAGCAGCGGATACGAGGACACATATGAGGTCAGATTTGTCAAAGTTGTGAGCAACTTGAACCAGCAAGCAGATTGTTTGAACCGAGGTCAATTTATGCTTATCCATGAACTCGGCTTCATACAGCATCTCTCTGCCTTTATCGAACAAGATACGGGACGCTTCGCTATCAACTTGTATTACCAAGCGTCAGTCACTTGCAGAATGAGGAAGCCAGGTGATTTACCTGTTATTCTCTTGGGTACAGATGACAGATAGTTACTTTCGAGATGGTAGAGCGTTTGCTTATGGAGGGTCAGATTCGCCAGTTGAGCGGCAGGGGGTGCATCTTACGGAGAGCAGAGCATAATAAAGAGCTATCCAACTTCTGTCACATTCAATTTTGAGAATATTCTCATCAAACTCGCGCAGAAACGTCGGCATATGAACCGTGTTGTGCATCCAGCTCAAATGCTTCTCATGAAGCGCTAGCAGTGAGCGGGCATCCTCGACAGGTAGGAACGTATCCCACTTTTGAACAGGCTGCACTATTGAGGTGGAAATGGACTCTCTTCCGATGAATTGGTTGAGAATATTGCGCCGACCGTGGGTGAGAAACTCCAGCATGGCAGCAGCTTCGTTGGTCAACCTTGTGTCGGGCGTGGATAGTGAAGCCAAAAGCTGTTCAATCATTCGCTCATCAATTTGCGGCAGGGAATCATTACTGCTTGTAGTGATGCTGCGAGCTTCAGGGTTAACAGTAGTAGTAGGTACCTCCTCGATCGAAGTTGGGGACACTGTCGTGAGGTTGGCCGCTTCTGGGGCAGGGACAACTACAGGTGGCGGATCATCCAGTGCTGTAGAGGCCCTGGAGCGCCCGACCGAGCGCCTCGAAACAACTGCGACAGGCTCTCGGTGACATTGTGCAGCTTTATTCTGGCGCACGCAAGCGGTACATGGGATAGTCTTGGAGCATTTAATCTTGCGGCGAGAACAATTAGTGCAAGCGAAAACAGACCGCTGACTGCTTCGGACTGATCTCGGATTTGACATGTGTAATTATTCCCGTCGGCCGTGTTTTGCACAATTATTGCGGGTGAGACATTTACAACACGGCCGAGTTTTATGGACGGGTCTGGTCGACAACCTCGGTCGGCTAAGCCCCGGCTATCACTGCTCGCACCAACATCCGCTGTAATCTGTTAAATGTTGAAGCATTGCACTCCATATTGCATAACTTATCGACCAGGAGGTCGCTGAACAGTCTTTAACTTGCCTTTGATGATAGTTTTATACTCTTAAGCCCCGAATAACTAAAATTGGTTTGTCTGACTTTGACAGCCGTAGGTATTGTGCTAAATGAACGCCTCTGGTTCAGAAACTCGGCCGAGCTGGTAAAAAGTCTAGAGATTCCACCACCCACGGGTCGAGATGATATAAACAACGGCTTCAAAAATGCGCTGGAAACAGAACGAGCGTTCTCCATAACCGAACTAGGGTACGTTGGTGTTGGGCCCATGTCGATGAAGCCTGGAGACCATGTTTGTGTTCTTTATGGTGGAGCATGCCTTTTGTTATGCGCCCGGTGGATGGTGCTAGTGATGAAGATTATTTGTCCTTGGGGGACTCTTTCGATAACGGCTTAATGGGTGGAGAGGCTTTGGATGATGAGGGCACTATTGAGAAATGGTTTCATCTGAGATGAAGGACAGAAGACATCCTACATTTATAGAAGCCCTCGAACTATATCAGTTTATTCTGATCATTTCGTGATATTTATTTCATACTGACAACAATACAGGGCTGGGCTCACGCGTGATAACTTTAGAGTCACTCGCCGAAAGATATTTATAGAAATATGCGAGGCCCCCAAACAGGACTGACATGACAGTAAGCTGCATGAAAGGCCAGCAGCTGATTGGTGGTAAGACAAAGCTGAAAAAGCCGTTATCTAGGAATCGAGGACTTACTCACAGCCTGATTTTTATCTGCAGTACATAAACAATAATGCCTCATCCTTGATCGTAGCCCTCTGGTTTAATCACCACCGACCATGGAGCATAAGTCATTCTTTAGCTACCCCATCACCCAACCCTTCCCCTTCCGATGGTTCACGCCAGTTACTGTCGTCGGGGGTATAGTATTCATCGCGCTCTTCACTCTGATGAATTTTGCCTCTAGCAGCTATGAACTTATCGTGCAGAACTCGCTGGATCCAAATGCGACTGTTTCGAGGCGCGGCTTTCTGCATCGTTACCCATCCTTCCTAACCACCAAAGTCCAGCCCAAATGCCAGCCTGCCACGCTACCTGTAAACAGCGATTTCTTCACCAACAACACGGCCTTGACATACACGTTGACAAGCGTTTGGGAGAGGGGAAAAGAAGGTCAACGAGTCATTTCACCGGCTCTCACATATCACAGAAACATCCTGCAGGACTGCTCTGTCCATTCCGTGGAAATCGACTTTGATTCGCTAGACAGAGCTGGAAAGCAAATTGGCTTTTGCGAATGGGGCGCCGTGCTGCGGTCGTACATCTCTTGCAAGATTGACACCCCTGCCGGAGAAGTCTTCTTCAATATGACACAGACCTACGACTACGTTCCTGAGACCGTTTCCTTCAATAGTCTCCGCAAGTTTCTTGGTACAGGGTTCCTCAGTCGTAACAAGACAACGCAAGCTAGCCTCTGGTGGGGCGAGTCCCTAATGTCGACATTCTGGGGAGAAGTCACACTGATGCTTCAGGATCAGCGGGGGGCTATTAAAGATGACGATGGTAAGATAGAACTCAACAAGGGGACTGTTTCTTTCATGACGAATGATACGCTTCCTAATATTGACGACCCCGGCTTCTTCAGCCTTGACTATCGTTTCTATGGTAGCAAAATAGATGAAGTAGCCTGTTGTCCAGACTTGCCGCTTCCCTTAACGGCAAAGGCTCTAGATAGGAGCGACACTTATCCAAACGTATGGATAAAAGCAGACTCGCTGGCAAAAGCTGCGTACTCGACAATACTCGTTGATCTTGGGCAGAAAGCAACCCCGAAGTCCAACATCCTCACCGACACTAAGCTGCTGACCCGCTACACGGAAAACTTCTCGACAGCTCGCATGGCAAATCTGATATCAGGTCCCGCAAACGATAGTTACAGCGCATTAAAGAAAACGACGGGTAGCTTGGGCATTGCGCCATCTGTCATCACTACGACGTACATCTGTCAGGTGCCACGGCTCAAACCAGCGGGAAACCTCATCGTTGCGATCATTGTAGCTGATCTTGTGCTGCTTCAAGCTGTATGGCAACTCTATAAGCTTTCGGCGGAATTCTATCTTGGCAAGAAGAATCGGGAGATTGTTCCGTGTGAGAGATGCTCTGGGGCTGGACAAGTGAACGACTCCGTGCCACCTTCTATGCCGAGCCAGGAGAGTGGGCTGGAGTATTTTCCGCTGGTCAACACGCCGGGGCAGAGTGAAGGGCTATTGACAGGGAGTAGGGTTCAGCAATCTGCGAATTGGTGTTATTGAGTCAAATGTATAGTCTTGCATGATGAACATAGATTCCGGGTGCTTTGGCCGTCCTAAAACAGCTTTTGGGCGTTTGTTTAGACTATTTGATTAAGGTTGAATGGCAAGTCGAGCAATGACGTGCCTTGGAAGCTTCCATCCCACCTAAAGTCCGGCGCTAATGCAGGTTGCTGACATTTAAGGACCCGCTCCCGGCTGCAACACAGACACAATTCTTCTCTCTCCCTGCTCAAGCTGCTTTACTTTTGATGACTATGAGAATGCATCGGACAGACACTCGGCAACAAACACGGATTGGCAAGGCTTGGCATAACTAAGCCTCGAAGTTTACGATGGTGAAGTGCGCGGCCTGGACTGGTTCGTCCACTGTCGTGACGCATCTCCAACATGGTAGCATGAAGATATCGGAGACGTGGAATATATAACGATTAGAGCTACGCCTGAGAAGACATTCATTATCATACCTCTCATCCAGTGGCCACACTGCAACAATCCACCATGAAGTCCATCCTCAACTACGCTGCCCAAGGCATCATGGCCTTCGCAGTTGCAATGCCAGCTTCTGCACAGAACCTTTCCTATGGCGCCGACAACTTCTACCGGAGCGAATCCGTCGCGATCCAGCCCATCCACTTCAACACTGTTTACAACACTACCATCGTCGGTAATCTTTTCACCGCCAGGAACACAAGCCGCAGCACAAACTCCCCCGCCATTGTAGTCGGCCATCCCATGGGCGCAGTCAAAGAACAATCCGCCAACCTTTATGCCACCAAGCTAGCAGAGCAGGGCTTCATCACCCTTACCCTCGATCTTCCCTTCTGGGGCAGAAGCGACGGCCCTCAGAATCTCGTGTCGCCCGACTTTTACACCGAGGCCTACAGTGCTGCGGTCGATCATCTGGGTACTTACAACTTTGTTGATCGCGATCGTATCGGCGCCCTTGGAATTTGTGGCAGCGGGAGTTTTATTATCAACGCGGCCAAGATTGACGCTCGCATTCAGGCTGTCGCTACAGTTTCCATGTATGACATGGGCACCGTGAATCGCCAGGGCCTGAGAGGAGCTCTGTCGGTAGAGCAGCGTAGAGCAATCATCGCCAATGCGTCACAGCGGCGATGGGCTGAAGCCGACGGAGCTCCAACTGCATACACCGGCGGGACTCCGAGCGAACTCACAAGCCAGACTGATGCTGTCTCTCGCGAGTTCTTCGACTTCTACCGCACCGTCCGTGGCGAGTTTACGCCCGAAGGCTGGCAGCGCAATCAGACTACTCGCCCTACGCTCGTCTCCAATGTCAATTTCCTCAACTTTTACCCTTTCGACGACATCGAGACCATCTCTCCTCGCCCTCTTCTGATCATTTCTGGCGACCAGTCGCACTCTAGGGAGTTTAGCGAGAATGCTTATCGTGCGGCTGGTGAACCCAAGGAGCTTCATTGGGTGCGCGGGGCTGGCCATGTTGATCTTTATGATCGTACTGAGCTTATTCCTTTCTCTAAGCTGAGCGAGTTCTTCCAAGAAAACCTCGTTTAACACGTCTTGTAGCCTTTAAAAGATCTAACTTTTATTTCTCAAGTCAAGGTAATCTTCTGCATGTTGAACCAATATTCTTTGCAAAATAACCTTGATGTTTCGCATTTTCGAACCTTTTCTTGTTCTCTATCTATATAGAAATAGCAATAAGTTAAGCCAAATAGAATAACCATTCAAGCTGTCAATTCTCTACCGGAAAACGTATTTCAGATTGGATGCGCGCACACTAAAAGGCATTTCCAGGTTACGAGAGTGAATGGAGTCTTATTACTGCCTGCAGTTATCTAGGGTTACCACCCTTCACAAATTACCATCGTACGTCGGATTTAAAACTTTTAGCAGTCGGCAATTCTGTCAGCACTGTAAACATGTGCACCAAAGGCCCAGTTTTCCGTCAGCAGGTTGCATTAGCGCTGAATGCTACAGTGGTTATAGCACCTCAGCCAGGCGCATTAGCGCAAACCACATGCCATCAATGACGTGAGAGCGTGAACTTGTTAAACGCAACAACTTTATATACAAGCTTCATCTGGACACGACTTTCCAAGCATTTCTTTTCCCTTGCCATTCAAATCTCATGATATCCAATATCATAGAATTCTTTGTTTCAGACCATATCACCATGGTATTCCAGACAGCACCGAAGCCCAGGACTCCTCTTGGCCTCCATCGCATCCTCTCCCCCACCGCTGGAGTCAAGGTATCACCAATATGCCTCGGCGGCATAAGCATCGGCCACGAATGGAAGTTTTACACCGGCAAAAATGAGGAGCCATTTAAACTTCTCGACGCGTTCTACGAGATAGGCGGCAACTTTATCGATACTGCCAACACCTACAACAACCAGATGTCAGAAAGGCTTATCGGACAGTGGATGGAAGAGCGAGATGTCAGAGATCAGATAGTCATCGCGACAAAGTACTCTGCGGGTTATCGTGCATCCGGCAACAACCCGGAGCCGTTACAGTCTAACTTTACGGGAAACTCTGCCAAGAGCATGCATATATCTGTGCGTGATAGTTTGAAGAAGTTGAGGACAGACTATATCGACATTTTGTATGTCCACTGGTGGGATTATGCGACGCCCGTTGAGGAGGTTATGAGAGGCCTCCATGTTCTTGTTATGCAAGGCAAGGTTCTGTATCTTGGAATCAGCAACACTCCCGCCTGGATTGTGGTCAAGGCCAACGCTTGCAAGTACCGTCCAACTGTCGAATTGAATGTGTTGCTGACTTCCACTAGATGCAAGACAACACGGTCTCACTCCTTTCTGTGTTTACCAAGGCAACTGGAACGCCGCCCTTCGCGACATGGAGGGTGATGTGATCCCAATGTGCGAGGACCAGGATATGGCGATTGTATCTTGGGGATCATTGGGCACTGGATCGCTACTGACGGCCCAGCAAAGAAAAGAAAGGGAAGCTGATCCAGATGCACCGAAACCGCAACTCTCAGAGGTCACGATAAAGACGAGTGAAGCCTTGGGAAGAATTGCTGACCGAAAGGACACTACACTCCAAGCGATTGTGAGTTTCTTTCCCGTTTTGTTTATTAACATCGGAGCTAATATAGCCAGGCTCTGGCATATCTCTTCCACCAGTCCACATACGTGTTCCCTATCGTGGGAGTCAATACGGTCGAACACATCAAAGCTATGCCCGATGCCCTAAAGATCAAGCTATCGAAAGAAGAGATTAACGAAATCCACGAAGCATCTCCTTATAATCCAGGGTACCCCTTGAACTTCACGCAGTATATGCAGCCAGTCAAATATGATCTTTCCTGGACACCTGCAGATCACCAGCAGTACCAAATGGCCGCTTGGATAGATGCTCCTCCCAAGCGCCTGGTAAGCCTTCCAAACCTTTTAATTGTTGGTAAGCTAACTCCATTTAGCCGTACCAGCCCAAAAATTGGTAGATGTCGTAAGGGCTTGGGCAAAAACAGACATTGTCATGTAAATATAGGAAAGGGTGCATGAAGAAAGTCCAGTCATCAGGTTACTAAACTTATTCAAAAAATGTCAGACATCCGCCGATGAAGCTATCCCGCTCGGCAGTGACAAACCAGTCAACTATTTCTTCTACTGTGTGCAGGGTCCTGTGTGCTGGCGGCCGCCCTGACAGACGCCATGGCCAGACCAGGAAAGCTTAATTTATGGCCTTCAACGGTCTCGAAAAGGATATTTTCGGCAACGATTGCCGTCGCCCGTCATTGGAGCTTACAATCCTGGCCTAGACTCTTTGGGTTCTGTATTTCCGACTTTTCTCAGTCCGGCGATTCATACCCATCTATTTGACCCTACTGCTCACTGAAGCAAATTGGTTGGGAAAAGCAATATGACGAATCTATGGCGAGAGAATAGGCTACGGCGGTTGTTACTCTGTGCTGTCCTCAAGTATGCTTTGATACCTCCAGCGTACCATTGTATGTCAGCTGTAGAAACACTAGTTGGGTTGATACACTGCGTATTGACACCACAGTTCAGTCCGCAATCGCATTTTGCTTAGTATAACAGTTCGTGCGAATGGAAAACCCGGCACTTGCTGCGCCATGAGTCGGTAGATTGATCTCGGTGTTCCAGTCGAATGCCGCAGTGGAGAGAGTGGAGTTGGGGATTAGAAATGGACCCACTACCTCACGATGCTCTCCCACTTTGCTTCTAAGGCACTGACAAGATGTCCAAGCTCAAGAGTCACCAGGCAATTAAAATGTATAGTGAATGATTATATATAGAACTGGCATGTCGCGGTAGAAAACAACTTCACCCAGCAATCAAGCAATCACAGCACAGGTTTACAACTCAACTTACAAACATTCTCAACATCTTTCCCAATCATGCGTCTTACAACCATTTCTCTCGCCCTTCAGTCCATCGGACTCATCAGTGCACGAGCAATCACTCATCCCAACCTCCGCGTTGAAACCTTCATCAACCATGGCTCTTCCTTCGACATGGTCTCCTCATTGATCATTGGCTCTCAAGCCGCTGTTCTGATCGACCTGCCCATGGCAATCGAAGGAGCAGAAGCCCTGGCCGATTGGGTCCGTAATATAACCGACAAGCCACTTATCGCTGCATTCACCACCCATTTCCATCCCGATCACTACCTCAGTGGCGGTGCACTGTTGTCACGATTTCCCGAGGCCAAGTACTACGCCAATTCCAAGGCCGCGGCTGAGATCAAGAAGGAGGCAGCTCACAAGGTATGTAAGACAATACCATGATAGTGGAGATTCCTAACATTGAGTACCTAGGTCAAGCTGATGAAGGGTGTTCTGGGCGATCAGTCCATCGTCAACAAGGCTCACCTTCCTACGGCTTACGACTTCTCATTCTTCACCTTGCCAGGCGATGAAGCTACCCCGATTCACTTCTTGAACCCTCTCACAGGCGACACCGTCGACGAAACACTCTTCTGGATTCCCTCTATCAAGACCTTGATTGCTGGCGACTCCGTGTACGGGCATGACATGCATCTCTGGCTCGCCGACTCTTTAACCAAGGCCCTGACCGAATCCTGGCTGTCGACCCTCGATTTGATCGACTACCTCAAGCCAAATGTTGTCATTCCCGGCCATAGTCTTTCGAACAAGAAGTTTGGCTGCTCAATTGACGTTGATCATTCACGCACCTATCTGAAGTATTGGCAGAAGGAAATTGAGGCCAAGGGTCTTGATCACTTTACTCCTCAGGCTATCTTTGACAAGTTCAACAAGCAGTTTCCCGGACTGCTTAATTTGAACTCTTCTACCTCAGTTTTCCTCCTGAACAGCACGGCTGAGCAGTTTGGTCGTGGTGGAACACGCCAAGTTCACTACATCAACCTCGCTGCTTATACCGATGTTGGGGCTCTTGATGGGTGGACGATTTAAAGGGGGGGCTGTTGTCTAAGACAAGGGGATGGGCTACTTTGAGGGAGTTGGTGATTCAAAACTTCATGTATAATTATTGGGGAGACGGTGTATTTATTGTAGAGTGATTGGTGATTAGGATAAAGTTGCTGTTAGGCGGAGTTGTATTGAGGTAAGGAGTTGTAATAGATTTAACAGAAATAGAGATTATCATTCGTCAGCGGTTGCAAGCTAGCGTCTGGGCGCATCCAATCAGAAAATAGATCAATTTGTCAGCACTGCTTCCGCGGAAGACAATATAAGCCAATGTCAGCATCACCTCTCTCGATCACTCATCTTTCCATCCGTCATCCTCAGCCGTAACGTTAATATGCCGCCAGCACAGATGACCAGAAAGGTTTGCCGCCATGTCTTCTTGGCCGAGACAGGATGAATGCTGACAGCATCTGACAGGCCTGCGACGTCTGCTACCGCAAGCGGATTCGGTGCGACGGTCAAAAGCCCCGGTGTTCTCACTGCGTTCTGTACAAATCCGACTGCACGTTTCAAGCTACGAGCCGTAAAGCTGCCATCAGGAAAAAAGCCAGTGGTCCTACGGCGGCTTTGCAGTCTCAGGTGCAATCGCTTGAGACGAGTGTTGACGAAGCACAGCAAAGAATAAAGGAGCTTGAAGCACGATTGACACAGAAAAGCAGCAGTCGAAGTGATCAGCCCCAGCTTGGTGAACATGACGTCAGCTACTCTGCAAGAGCTTCTCTCGATTTAGGTCTCGAGTTACCTCCTCAACACGAGGTCTTATCAGGAGTCAACAAGTTCCTTGCAACCTTCAACACTATCCTACCCCTCTTTGATCCACAGAGACTCCTATCTCGGGTAAGTACATGGTATGAACGACCCCATCAGCGAGATACCTCGACTTGGGCGGCCATCAATGTCGTTCTCTCCCTAGCCTATCGCCATATTCCGGATGAGGAGAAGCCACCTATTTACAGTACCCTACACTTCATGAACAAGGCTCAATCAGTTCTGAATGATATCATGTTGGGCGATTCAAGTCTCCTAGACGTACAAACAATTGTCGGAATGATTGTGTTGTTGCAGGCAACATCAGAGTTGAAACCAGCTTCGGCTCTGATCCCCATTGCTCTGCGTCTTGCCCATGGACTGAGATTACACTCGAGGGCAAATTATGATCATCTAAGTGCTTCCGAAACCTTGGAGCGAGATTGAGTTTTCTGGATTGCTTACATCCTCGATCGAGACATATCGATGCGGACAAAGCTACCTCCTGTTCAGAGCCAAAAAGATATCAGTATTGACTGGCCATCAGCTACACCTGCTGACGGAGCTGGTATGCTCTACACAGCTGATGATTCGTCTAACTTCAACTTCTTTCTGTCACGTGTGCAGCTTGCGCATATCCAAGGCCAAGTCTACGAAGCAATGCTATCCAAGTCCCCCACCGCATCAGATGTCTACGTCCGTCTAGATAACGTGGCTCGTATACACCAAATGCTAGATGATTGGCTTGCCCGTATACCTTCAGAGTTTTCTGCTAGTGCCATTACCGAAAGCGGGAACACAAACCTACAGAGGGCTTTTGGTGTTTTGTACTCAAGCCACCTCACCTGTCGAAGTGTCGTCTGCAAGGCTCATGCCATGGAAGCACAATGGATACCAAGTCTTCGAGACTTTGGAAGAAAGGCTGTAGAGCAAGGGATAGTCGCAACTCCACGGTTGCCAGTTGGTTGGCACAAACTTGTCCATGAATCTCGCGAGTACATCGAACTGTTCATAGCCATTGATCATAAAGATCCTGCATTTATTTGGTAAGCTTATCATTTCAGATTCATCTTCCTCTTGCTAACTTTGAGGCTTCAGGATGACAGCTTGCACATACATCTCTGCGGCAGTCTGCCTGACGGCCAACATCCTGTTCAACCCTTGGCATACAAAGGTTGAGACAGATGATCAGTTGATCAACCCCGCGTTCAGCTTTCTAGATGAAATAATACTACAAGCACCGCTTCCACAATTGAAGAGTCTACGTCGTTCGTGGGATGGGCTCCTAAAGAATTCCCGCGAAATGTCATTTCGGAATGCTGTACAGAATCTGGATTGGCTCGAAGCCACATGTAGCTGAGGATCTAAATGAATATCGGATAGACGGTAGAGAGAATCCTTCTTGGCAGAGCATTATAAAGGGTGTGGCGTTTGGTCCTGGTTTGTGTCTCATCTGTGCAACAAAATGTGATGTCTTTCAAGGACATGCTGCCATGATGTCGTGCCCCATCCTCCGCGGAACAGCCAGCTGAATCACATTATGGACATAACGTTAAGGGCGTTCCGCGGAAAAATAACAAACATCATGCTTATGAATGAAATGGAAATAGAAGGTTCTGCTTTATCATTACCCGCCCAGTACGTGGCTAGGGTGCCTATATAATTGTCGCACACAGGAACGAATATTTCCCAACACCATCCTAGTCAACATCCTCCATCTTGTACCAATTTACCCATTCAAAATGGCGCCTCTCCCGCTGCCAGGATTCTCATCATTTACCAAGTCATGGCACTCTGAGCCTAATCCGTTCATCTCACCTACAAGACCAGAGCTCTCCGCTGCTGGTAAGAACGTAGTCATCACCGGCGGAGGTACCGGGATTGGTCAAGCTACTGACATCGCCTTTGCCCAAGCTGGTGCCAAATCCATCGCCATCATCGGTCGAAGGCCTGAATGTCTTGAAACTTCAGTGAAGGCTATCCAAGCTACTAACCCCTCGGCCCAGGTCCTATTCGAAACTGGAGATGTCACCAAGTTTGAATCCATAAGCACCGCATTGAAGAAGATCGTTGATAGACTTGGCAAAATTGACATTTTCATCGCCAATGCTGGCATGTTACCAAAGGCTGGCCCAGTCTACGGCTATGATGAAGCTCAGCTCCGTCAAGGTCTTGAGATCAATGTCATTGGCCTCTTCAACTCTCTTCAGGCATTTCTTCCCCTCGCAGCCCTAGGTGCTAAGGTCATCTACGTCGGCTCTGGCATAGGTCACTGGGCCCCAATGGCTGAAGTCCCGGGTGTTTTCAGTTACGCTGCAGCCAAAGCAGCCGCTTTGAAGATGATTGACTACTTCGCGTTCGAGAACCCGCACATCCATGTCGTCAGTATTCAACCTGGTATCATTGCGACAGGAATCAATCCCGACCTTAGTGTTGGATTCGATACAGGTTTGGTTACAGATTCTGTTCGCATTATTACTTCCGAAACTAACAAGATCAGTGGAGTTGCCAGCTCATTTTATGGTATGGCTTACATCAGAGGAAGCTGGGTTCTTGAAGGGCAAGTTTGTCTGGGCAAACTGGGACGCCCAAGAGCTTCTAGCGCGAGCAAAAGAGATCGAATCGACTATGGTCCTGAGAATCATTTTGAATGGAGTTGATATGTAGGATTATACTAGTTTAACTCATCTCACATGAGCATCACGTACTGAAAGGTATAGCCAGTTAAGTGGTGCTAGAATATTTCTGGTATTTACAAGAAATCTCCATCAAGCTCCCAATCCGCTGATCTCATATGCATTTCCAAGACATCAGGCGTATCATGAACATCGGCTATCAATAATGAGATTTGTACTCCCCGTGACCTGCCAGAAAAGACAATAAAGAAGATGAGGGTACTTTATTCTTTGAATCAAGTTTCTCCCGTCTTTTCACAGGAACCTTGGCCTTCTTCTTTTCCTTTCCCACATTGCCGGATCTATCATGTTGCCGTCAGAATCCATGAGATCATAATGGCGTGCAAGGACTAGTGGATAAAGCACTTCGATATACATGAACGCTTGTCCGATCATGCATTCAATGTCCTACCATGGGTTAGTACCAATATTTCATCGTGATAAAGCGATACAACTTGCCTCCCACTTCTGAACAAGAGGGTATGGGAACGTGAATTTTCGACCAACAGCATCTTTGAAACGGACGACTCTGGCGTCGCTTTGTTTGGGAGCAAGACTACTAGGTCTCACCTTGTCTATCTCAGGCTTACACACGAAGGTCCCAGTAGCCTCGTCGTGAGAAAGACACGTCCAGTCCGCTAGAAGTGTGTCAACAAGAAGTTGACCTGCTCCGGGTTCATAAATGGCCATTTGCAATTCTGTTGGCGTTCGGACTACGAGGACCGTCTTGTCAGAAGCTGGACCTTGATGTCCTTCTCCACTACCCTGCTCAAGAGTCTCTGAATCATGTGCACTCCTAGGGTAATTTTCGAACAAAAGTTCAAAAAGCCATCGGCCTGTCCCGTCAGATGGCCCATGGCCACGGATCTGCACCTGCCCCGCGACATCGTCATTATCACTATCAGAGTCGGTCTTTGGTTGGCTTGATGATCGGCTAGCCTCAAATTCCTGGTTTTCCGAGAGATCTACCAGACAATGGGAAGCTGCGTAGGCGAGGTTCTCTGACTGCTGGCGAAGGAGAGAGATTTCTGAATTTGGTTCTTTCTGCTTGCCTTCACTGGCGGAAGTTGGCTGAATGACTTGGTATCTGCGCAAGAATATTGGTTATCAAGGTACGGGAACAGAAACTTAGAAGCTACTAACTGTGCTTCCTTTCTTGTTGTCGCTGCAAGAATCAGAATGTTGAGCATCAACTGAATAGCAGTCTTATGGCTCTCGATCAACGTAAGTTTATACTGCACTTCTGACCGCTTCAGGCTCCATCTAAAAGTTTGAAAGCCCCTAATGCTGTCCATAAGCGCATATATATCATCATGTATCGTGGATATACGGCGAGTTGCGGACTTTATTTGGCGGAGAGGTTTGCGAGTACATATATCGGCGCTCTCCTGCAGTACCCGACGAAGTTCTGAAAGAATACAAGATAGATCCGAGATATTGCGCGCTATGTCTGCCATCTCACGCGAGGCACCGCGCGTGGAGGATATAAAATGGTATATCGCTTTGGAGAGCGATGTGCCTGCTGTTGCAATACCTGCAATACTGGCAATGATAGACAGAGGATCCATTGCGACCAAGCGTGTCAACAAACTTGGTATCACATAAGGTTAGGAATGAAATGTCGAAGCTGTTTATGGCAAACAGTTGAAAAGAGATGAGGGGCTAAGCTGCCCTGTTGTGTGCCTTGGCACCTCCATAACCAAACACGTCGTTGAACTGCACAGCCTGATTTTCGATATGCCTTACAAAATATCAGTGAGACTGCTGACTTGATCTTATGCCATATGACGCAATCTATCTGCACAGGTCGCTGTAAAAGGATACTTTGATCAAGGCAACATGGCTATTTAGACCAGATATGTCATAGAGGCACGAGTCAAATATTCGTGGTCATCACATCCTCAATCCAATCAAGAATTGCTGGCTACAATACAGTCCCCATACCGTTACCCAAGCGCTATTATTCATCAACCTCATGGCTGTTGCCTTCTAGCCCTCCCTTCCCCTTCCTTTACTTGAGCCACTAAGCACTGTTACTACCCTGGTTTGCCTTAGCATCCGCCATCTCCTTCATATGTCGTCTTTTCCTAGCCTCCCAAAGAGGATACACGCAAAGACCCGACGCAAACAGAATGGTCACGCCATTCCAAATCTGCGCACCCAGAAATGCACGGTTTTGTCGACCACCGTGGGCTTCGTCAGCTGCCAGCGCAATGGGAGGCCCGATCAATGCTCCAAACCCTGCCGCGCCATAGACTATGCCCATTCGAGTACCAAGGACATTTAGTGAAGGACATAGCCCAGCCAAAGCCACCAGAATCCAGTAAACGACGGACTACAATGGGGTAAATGATACCACCAAAAGAGCCTCCCGCCGTCGCACATCCAAGTGCCAGACCGCGGCGCGTCGTGAAGTAGAGGGGAATCATAGCAACGCTCGGGATGTACAACAGCCCAGTACATATGCCTCCAAGAACACCCCACGTCAGCATGACTTGATAATATTGTGTCGATAAGCTCAGCATCATAAGTGCAAAGGTGAGCATGAGACTCGAGGTGACGAGGATGGGATAGAAGTATCCTTGGTCAAAGAGCGGACCGGAGATGACACTGATGATGAGGATCAGGGAGACTTGGAGGGTACCGATCCATGATATCGCAGATGAGGAGTGTGTTCGAAGAAGTGTCGTTTCGTAGTACGTTTGGAACACGCCGAAGCTGTTGGCTAAGCCGAAGTTGTTGAGGTTGATAAGAAAAGAACCAAGGACTTGAAGCCATGCTGTTAGCCCGCCATCGGGAGGAGGTTGGCTTGTTGTAGATGGCTTCCAGTATCGGAAGAGCCCCTTTTCGGGCTCTTTTTCTTTTGCCGAAGTTGAGTTGTCAGAAGACATGTTTACCAAGGATACCAAGAATCTCTCCAATTTCTTAAGCTTCTAAGGTTTACGAGCCAACCTTTATACTGCGTCTCTCTCGAGGTCAAAGACCGCGTCTGACGCTGCCTTGCCGCAGATCAAACCAGGGTGAGGTCTTGATAGTCCATTTTGAGATAAGTGACAGCGGCAGACAACACGGTTTGCTGTTTTAGGCTCTGCCTTATGAGACACTGTCGATCATCGTCATGCCTTGATCTTTTGAATTGCCTAATCGAGAAAGCTTGACATGTTCAGGTCAATGATTGGCTGGTATCCATTTTCAGGGCATTGACATCATTTTTGTGTGGGGCAGCATGAGGTCTCAGTTGTCTTTGTCATCCCTTCAATCATTGAGACAATATAGAAATATAGCATTTTCTTATGTTCAAAGAACTGGGTTAGGATAAGAAGAAGTAATGCATGCTATCAGTCTGATATTCGTTGGACACGATGTGACAGGGGACTTTGTGGTAAGAATGCGAATGACATGAGCGTCAAGTTGTTAGGGTGACCATTAACGTCAGTAGGCGCATGCATTGTGACTTAACAGAGCTCAGCGGAACCACGTCAATCTTGTCTTGAGGTAACATAAATTATAAATCGTGAAACAGCTCTTATATAACTGAGAGTATAATACCCCGATATCCTTTCACCAGACCGAAGACCCTGATCATGATGGCATGAGAGGGTACTGCAGATAATGTTTCTTTCTTACCCTACACTTAACAAAACCGCCTGAGTTGCCTCCATAATTCGCGACGACGAAAACCGAACTTTTGTCATTCTTAGCTCATTGCCCTTGTTTGCTGCAGCTACAAACCGCAAGCTCATACACGCCGCTCGGACAGAACTTCAAATGGATAGAGGACGCCATTCACAATACACGTCAACTTTGACCGTCACAACGGCGAGACAAATATTCGTCTCTGGGGAAGCTTAAATAGAAGCATAGCTTGACCTTTTCTCATCTCCAAACCTTGCTTACACCCATCGGGAGAATGCTTTCCCACATCACGGCATCTCCAGGGTGAAGTCGGAGTCTCCTCGCACGAGTAGATGTAACGTTGAGAAGCAGTCAGTAATTAATCACTATCCATTGGTTAGAATTATCGGTCTATCCCTTCAATCTCGCTCTCCCAGCAGGGAACCTTTGAGTTTGCGGGCGGTTTGTACTCCACTATCCACTTTCCATGTGCCGGATATCCGTGTTGATCTTTTGCTGACCTCGCGAAAGAAACGCGAAAAGTCACGATGATTTGGGGTAGAGACATTTACTGTAATAGCTTGCATAGTTCAAACGCCTAATACGAGGTGTGTGATATTCTAAATATATTGTCATCATTCACAGCCTCTTCTCTATAAAAAGATGCAGAGGCAAGTCCCGCTGCTTCTCGAAGCCATCATGGCAATTTCTGCGTCTCACTGTGAGATGCGGGGAAGCACTAGCAGTCACCATCTGACTCCATTTGGACAGACAAGTTCATCGGGCAACTAAAATAGGTATCTCCGCGGTGATGCCGCCGTTGGAATGAGGAGAAATAAAGTGGCGAATTCCCCGCAATCGGCACGAAATATCCGTCTGGAGGGTGCGGAGAGTGCGACTAGAGTCACTAGACCGTGGAGAAGCCTCCGTATTTCCCCGCTGGTTGAAGAGACCATCCCCAATGTTCTTAACCATAAATACTATGCCTATTTCTCCTTGACAGTGTTTTGATGTTCTGTACCTTTGTGTCGAGTAGGATATCATTGAGAAATTCTGTCAAGATGAAGTTCACGCTTGGAAACAGAGCCGCTATGGCGGATACGCCTAGTGAGGTTATGAACTGGCGCTTATACTGGAGTACCTTTGTCTTTGGTTCGTCATCCAACCCCAGTCACCTATTCGTCAATCGCTAACTTCTTCGAAAGGCGTCTTAGGTGCCAGCCGTGGTCTCGATGAAGGTCTCGTCGGAGGCATGGTCACGCTGAAGAGCTTCAAAGACGAATTCGGTCTCGACCACGGATCAGCAGAACATCAAGCCCAAGTCGAGTCCAACATTACCAGTATGGTTCAAATCGGTTCCATCGCTGGTTCACTCCTTGCATTCTTCCTGTGCGATAAGATCGGTCGTGTTCGGTCGCTTCAATTCCTTTGTGTGCTTTGGCTTGTTGGTTTCATCATCGTTGTTACCAGCCATGGAAGCGTGGGACAGGTGCTGGCTGGACGCTTCATTGCCGGCCTAGGTATTGGCATGACTGTCGTTGTTGGTCCGACATATCTTGCTGAGACTGCACCGAGGGCTGTGCGTGGTATGCTCACCAATATCTTTGCTGGTTCTGTCTACCTTGGTGTCATGGTTGCGTACTTCAGCAACTGGGGTGCTTCCATCAACATGCCCGACTCATCTCGATACCAATGGGTTGCACCTCAAACATGCCATCTTGGCTTTGCTGGGTATGTAAACTTCCCTTGCTCTAATGTTCAACGACTAACCTTTGTAGACTCATTCTGCTCCTGTCTTTCACCGTTCCCGAAACCCCTCGCTGGCTCACCATGAAGGGCCGCAATGAAGAGAGCACCAAGGCTCTCTGCAAGCTTCGCCAACTCCCCGAAGACCATCCCTTCGTCCAAGCCGAGTTGTACGGTATTCGTGAGCAACTTGAGCGAGAGCAAGAGGCCATCCTCGGCGTCTCCCGATGGGGCAAGATCCGAGAACTTCTTACAATCCCCGCCAACCGATACCGCTTCATGCTTGGCTTCATGGCTCAGCTCCTTGGTCAATGGTCTGGCGCTAGTGCCATCACCATCTACGCCGCCGAGTTCTTCGGTGTCCTCGGAAAGTCTGGCCAGTCCGAGAAGCTCTTCGCTACTTGTATTCTCGGTGTTGTTAAGTTGGTCTCTGCTTATGCATGCGCCTTCTTCCTTGTTGACTTCATCGGTCGACGTCGATCGCTCTATGCTGGCATTACTCTCCAGACCATTTCGGTCTTGTACATCGCCATCTTCCTTGCCATTGTTGGTACCAAGACCCTCGAAGATGGAACCTTGACAAGCACACAGAAACATGCTGGTGTTGGCGCAATTGCAATGCTATACATCTCAGGTGTAGGCTGGACCATGGGATGGAACTCGTTCCAGTATCTCGTCAACGCCGAGATCTGGCCCCTTCGCCTTCGTGCCCTGGGTAGTTCCATCACCATGTGTCTTCACTTTGCCAACCAGTACGGCAACACAAAAGCTGTTCCGCTCATGCTGCTTCACATGACAAGCAGTGGATTCTTCTTCTTTTGTGCTGCTGTATGTATCCTCGGTCTCATCTGGGTTTGGGCATTTGTTCCTGAGATGGCGGGACGATCGCTTGAGAGCACCGATGAACTGTTCTCTCTGCCGTGGTACAAGATTGGTCGCTATGGAAATAAGCTGGCGCCTGATAATGAAGCCATCTTGGCGAGGGATGAGAAGGCTGAGATGAAGCGGGAGGTGGAGGTGACCCAACTTGAGCAAGCATGAAGAGATTTGTCTAGTAAATAGGAATAAAATCTCTTGAAACAATATGAACAGATAGTAGTTGTGATTTCAATTGTCTTTAATCTCACATAGCTGCAGCAAAAGCTATACTGCCTATCAATATCCGTTTTAACTTGGCAAGTCTGATACAGGCTGCAAGGGGTAGGATTGAGAGTCATTTGCGGCAAGGTAAGGCCACGTCCACGAGAGAAAGACAGTGCCGCGGGGGCCAGTTGTTTCCACTGAGAACAAGTTTCTTCCCCAACAGCTAGATGAAGTATAGCCTCGAGCACGATGTCATCAGATTCGCCCTTGCACTCAAAGTTTTAAAAGACTGTGGCTGCATCTTCTGACATTCGATAGACGAATTGGAGAAGGTGATGGCCCGGCAACGAGCCAATGGCATGAGCCATGTAACTATGGCCCTCGATGACAAATGCAGTATCAGCACCATTATCCAAGAGAACGTTGATTGTGCGAGTCATTTGTTACATAGCACGAGGACCTTTCATCTTTTCATCTAGGGATTATTCGCCTTCCAGAGCGATCGTCATGGCAAGCAGAGTGAAGGCACCTCGCGTCACATTCACATCGACACCACTGTCAGAGGAACTGGCACAACTTGGGACTTAGTAGAAACACCGCAAGCTGTAGTGGGCCGTTTGATAGTTGTTGCATAGTCGACAGCTCGGCCTGTCCCCCAGGCAGCGCCGCAAGACCGGTCTTGTGGATATCGAAAGGTCGCTTGAGAAGTTCCCGAACGGGGTCTTCTCCTATGTTTTCCCAGAGGAGTATAGGCGGCAAATTTGTAGAAAGGGTGCTGTGATTGATCTCTTTTGGCGGAGGCCTCCTCAACTGTATCAATGATAGTCGGCAATCGATCGAAGTGTGGAAGCTACAGGTAACCAATTGAAGTTTGCGCGAATGAGCGGTAAGCACCCTCTTCGGAGTATCAAAAGTCACCTAATTCAGTCCGTCCCAGGTATTCCAAGATTATCAAGTGGGCAAAGTCAAGTAATTTCTGTCTAGAGACTTTTGTAGTAGACAGCTGTAAGATGGTCGCTTTGTTCAAGAACAATCTCGATGACAAGTCCACACAGAACAGTCTTTCCACTGCTTGGAGAGACGTTAATAAGCTCACAATGTGGCAAAGGGCTACAACGTACCTGGAATACTACTACCCTAAGCTACCTAGGTACCTAGAGATGGATCAGAGTGGTGCAATCGAGTTGAGGCAAGAGCAGCCATCTCTCACCTCCTCCCGTGTGTACGGAACGGGGACGGTCCCCAAAGCAGGAGCTGTTGCCAAACGAGCAATGCATTTCCGACAAACACAAAACAAGTGCGACTGCTCGATTGCTTTTCTCACCTGAACATCATCATCATCATCACCATCAACAAACCTCTCATTTTGGCATCGCCAGCATCATCTTCCCTCTGATCATCACCACCATCATCATCATCTTCATCATCTGCATTTGCATCAGCCTTCTCCCCTCAAGATCATCATCAGCACCATCCCTCTCAGCCACAGCACCTGCATCATCACGGATCGGTCTTCTGCACTATCCCTCTCGTTATATTCATCTTATGCGTCGTTCCTCTCGCTCAAACGCCACAGACTTCATCGCCCATTCCTGCTCCCACCTCGCTTGTGCATCCCCCCACAGTCGAAATGCGCTCTCTTCGCCTTCTAGCCCTTTGTGGTATGAACCCCACTGAGCAATCAATTTTACAGTTCAATCCCTAACCGCCTTCTCTTCAGGTATTCCACTGGCTTTAGCTCGAAGTGGTTGCGGGTGTTGCGGGTTTTGCGGGGGCGGTTCAAGACCTCTTTTTAAAGCCGACATACGTGCTGATACCAACCGCGACGGACGAGTCGACCTCGAAGGCCTTTCGGACACGATTGACAAGACGCAATGGAATGAAACGCACGGTGCAGTTTTCCTTCCCAATATCGGCGACACTGGTAGACGATGCCGAATTCAGTTTCTCAACGGCAAGAATTTCAGCGATGAGAAACTTGACGATTGTCACGATGCTTCCGACGACACCCAGAGATCTCCCCAATATCTCGCACCCCTCAAGACCGTCCCCAATCCAGACCTCTTCGGCAGTGCAAAGGGTACTGTTACAGTTCCCGACGAGACCCAGCGAAAGTTTGTACGTATCTTCCAGAAAAAGGGCAAGGATTGGGAATACATCGACAACAACCATACCTTCTATCAACCGGAGTTGCAGGCTGGCCTTGACCTTGGCATTGATGCTCGTAATACCAGACGTCCCGAGAGTCAGGACATCAGAAGCCCCGAGTGTTGGGATGGACGTGTCACTGTTCGCTTTACCATTGAAGCCGAAGGTACCGAATCATCTGACACGGTCATGTTACGTGTCGCACCCGTGCTCACACACCATCATCTCCAAAAGGTCGAACAAGTGGTCACCGCGCAGAAAATCCCGACCCCTTCTCTCGATAAGTTCGCCTACCAACTAGACTCAATTACCAAGGCGGCCGGCCTCGACAAAGAACTTATCATCTTGGACGCAGTCGACAGTGAACAAAAAAGATTTGACCAGTGGGTCCAAGACTTTGTTGAGCCAGGCTACGCAAGCATGCCTGGTCCAAATGGAACAGTATCTATCCGGATCATGATACGCTGTCCCGGCGATATGAGAGAGGGTGGTCGAGAGATCTTTAGGTTTTTCCGAAAAGCTGGAGTTGGCGCAGTGCAGCATCTCGGAAAGTGGATATCTAACATCGATGCTGGTGGCAACATCGAAGCCATTCCTCCTTACACCTTCCAAGGCAAGACCTGGCCGGCTGGACGTCTTATCGTTGGCAAGCATGGCAACGAAAGCCATCACATCCTCTCTTACCTTGAAGCTCAAGAGTCACAGGCGCCCCCCCTTCGGCTCGATACTTCCTGGCTCGCAGTTGGTCATGTCGATGAGTTCCTCCAGTTCATCCCCGCCAACAACACCAGAGGTTGGATTGCAGTCATCAGTGACCCTCTTTTAGCTATCAAACTTCTTCAAAAGGTGGAAAAGGCCGGACATGGATCGCACCCGGCTATCTCACGCAACAAATCTTCTACTCTGTGGCCCAAAGGCTGCATGATGCCCGAGTGTAACCAACCCGTCCATTCCTTTACCATAAGCCAACTATTGGGAAACCAGAGACTGATGGGGCTCAACGATATGTGCGCTCGACAAATTAACGACAGCATAAAGATTCTCAGGAAGGAAGTTGGACTTACTGATGAGGACATCATTCGCATCCCATCTTTGTTCATTGAAGACGGCAAATCGGAGTTTGTAGATCCTGGCTCGGAAGTCAAAGTCAGCGCATTCTTCCCTGCTGTCATAAACAACCTCGTCCTTACTGGTTACAACACTTCCATTGCTCCTAAACCGTGGGGTCCGCTTGTCGGGGAGAAGGATATCTTTGCTGAGACAATCATCGACAAGTATGCCGAGGTTGAGATGAACATCAAATTTATTGATGACTGGGATAGTCATCATAGACTCATAGGAGGGGTTCATTGCGCCACTAACTCCATTCGAGACATGTCTGCAAAGTGGTGGTGATCACGTTGGGTTGCAGGATCAGACAGACCTTTGACAATCCGCCTCAGTTGTAAATAGTATTTTATTCATATGCAACATCATTAGTTCCTTTTATACCTCCCCAAAGTCCAGTAATTCTATGCTCTTGTGATCTACAATCGCAGCGCAGTGTCGTTCCACCATAGCATCAACAATATCGCGGCTCTGCATCAGTGGCCCAGCAAGGGCCCATGCAAAGCCGTGAAAGGTTTGTCGCCGGTACTCCTCCCAAACATCCACCATCTCAAGTTCCGGGCCGTCCGCAAGCTTCAGAGCGCTGAGATAAGACTGCAAGAGGTCTTTCTCATGATCGCGGCGATCTTGAATTGACAGTGACCCGCCGATGAAATAAGCAACGTCGTGCAAGGGTGATGCAGCGTGAATGACTTGCCAGTCAAGGAAGCCAGGCTCTCCTGTGGGGGAGACGAACGTGTTTCCAATATGTGCATCACCATGGACGAGGCACTTCATTTTGGACTCTGACTCCCAAAGAGCCTTGAATGTTAGCGTCATGCGCTCCCGATCCTCCATGAACTCAGGAACTGGAGGTCGCGCATCTGGAGCAAAACGTTTATCCCATTCATCTGGTGCCAACAAACCCACAATTGCATCTCTGATAGAAACAGTCTCGCTCACTGAGGGATTGGCTTCACTTATATCCTCCCACGTGCTGGTATGGAGAGTAGCTAGCTGCTTGACACTCATTCTTGCCCTCTCAACCGGCCATGTCTCGAGTGGGTCACCAAATGTGTAACCCTGAGCTTTGAGATCGGTCATTACAACGATGCCCTGTCCAGTCAAAGTATCTGTGCCAGCATACAATACCGGTGGAAGAGGGATCTTGAGCTCTGGGGCAAGGTAGTAGTAGAACTCTGCTTCACGTCGGTAAATGGCGTAGAGGAAGGGCAAAGACTCTCGAATGTCAGAGTTGAATCCGCCTTTGACGCAAATATTGCTGGGGCTGCCATCGGTACCATTGTCGAACGTTAATTTTATTAAGATTTTGGAAGCCGTTCCATGGATAGTCTCGATGACCTTAACGTCTTGGACAGGCTTGTTGAGAACCTGGGTGAACCAATACTTCGTAAGCTCATCGAACGTCAGCGGCAACGGCTCGTTCGACCGTATAACGCCATTCACTTTTCCTGTGATTGGAGGCATAATGATTGTAGTTTGCAACTCAGAAACAGGGTCGCCTACAGTGCATTGAAGAGCGGGGTTGCTTATCTATTAGGACACATAAGCATTGCAAAAGTTCTTTCACATTCTTGGCGAGCAGTGCATATCTGACATGTTGTTGATTGGCCAAGATTGCATTTCGCAGGGTTTTACTGATCTTTCTGGGATGGAGTCACCCGATAACTGTGAAAAACAATGTCGATATTTCGACATTCTCAAAAGCCCACTTCCTAAGTACAGCACCCTTTTTACATGTAAGGACGAGGAAGTATACAATATTCCCGATCACCTTGATTCAAAAATGAACTCTTCTTAGCCTTGATCACTGTGCAAGAGTATTTCACATCGTATACTTCACCCACAAGAGGGGATCAATCCAGTCAAGGCCGGCCTCGACATGGCGAGGTATAAATAGCTTATTCCAGTCGTATTAGTGATCCACAGCAACTTAACCCTGGACTCGCCGGTGAATGAGTCACCGAGCCTAGGCAAATGGGGAAGGCCTGTAGTCTGGTGCGGGGCAAACAAGCGACCTAATGCAGCCTGAACAGCAGAATCCCAGTGAATCTGAGCCTCCAACGTCATTTATAAACCTCGTGCCATGCCAAGCATTATCCCCCTCTATACATACTAAGTTACAACAAGGTGTCAATAGAATCTACGGCCATTTTCCCATTCCAGACCTCACCATGACGCCTACAATTGAAGAACTGCTGAGAGACTACGATGACGGCGCTCCAATCGAAAGAATTGCATATCGCAGATACAAACACCCCATCGCCATCGTCGAGCCAGATCCAACATGGCCTGAGCTCTTCACCCGCGCAAAAGCACGTATCGAGTCTGCTCTTGGCGACACGGCCATCTCAATCAACCACGTCGGCTCAACAAGCGTTCCAGGCCTTCCAGCCAAAGCCGTTATCGACATTGACCTAACCGTGAAAGACCTCAACGATGAAGCATCCTACGTACAGGCTCTTGAAGACGTTGGCTTCCATTTTCTGTTGCGAGAGCCCGGGTGGCATGGACATCGCTTCTTTTGCGATTATGAGCCTGTGCCGACGAATCTGCATGTTTGGGGTCCTGGCTGCCCTGAGGTGGTGAGACATAAGATCTTTGCGGATTGGTTGAGAAAGAATGAGGATGATAAGGAAGCTTATGAGAATATTAAGAGGGAGGCTGCGAAGGCGAGTGTTGAGAATGGGGAGGATGTTATGGAGTATAATAATAGGAAGCAGAATGTCATTCGGGAGATTCTGCAGAGGGCGTTTAAAGATTTGGGATACCTATAAAGGATGCCAGTAAGTATCTCTGGGGTTTTGATGGATTGTAAAGGGCGAAAAAATACAGTACGACATGAGGTCCAGGAGGCTGCTAGAGTGATTTTGGTGCTCCTCAAAGAGGAGTTCAAGAGGTTATCGCCATAATACTCCAAGGCTTTAGTGGAACACATAGCTACTCGTCAAACTCCGATTCCCTGCAGATCAAGCTCTGGTCAAAGCATGCCCTCGAATCTTGCCGTCAAGTCCTTGTGATACCTTCCAATTTGAGCCTAGGTTTCAGCTAACCTCAGCTTGGTCCACGACTCCAAATGGTAAAGACCGACTTGATGCCTGAATGGCTCCAGCTGAAAATTCACGTTCTTTGTAACAGTTTCTCATATATCTAAGAACTCTTCCCAGCCAGTTACTCCTTCTCCATCATTTTGTAAAATCGCTCACAATGGCTCACACACCAATGCAGACTTGTCCATGCCACGCCACAGGCGAAGATCCCGCAGAAATCACAACTCTGCACCAAGCAGCTTTTCATCAAAACAACCAACGACTAGAAGAGCTCCTGCAAAACGGTGCAGACGTATCAGCTACGCAAACGGCTCGTGACTTCACACCACTTCATTATGCCGTTCAATTTGGAGATGAGAAAGCTGTGCAGATGCTCATTGAAGCTGGGTCCGACGTCTCTGCAGCAAGCTATGATGGTGTCACGCCGTTACACAACACATCTGCAGGCGGCGATGTGAGGATCACCGAAATGCTCTTGAAGGTGGGAGCAAATGTTGACAGCCGCAACATCGATGAAGAAACGCCTCTTCATGTCGTGCCATTGTTCGGGGAGACACAAATCGCAAAGCTCCTCATAGAGGCTGGGGCGGATATCTCAGCAAAGGATTGCTATGGAAACACGGCTTTGCATATTGCTGCATCCCATGAGCATATCGGGATTGTCGAAGCTCTTGTTGCCGCCGGCGCTGATCTTAACGCCGTGAATAACAATGGGGATCCAGTGCTGCATCATGCAATGAGCGACGGACCAGGATGTGTCAAACTTCTTATCGATCATGGAGCGAATGTTCATCTCAAAGGCGAAGGCGGTGATACTCTTCTGCATCGCGCTGCGCAGAGCTCACCTGAACTGGTGCGAGACTTGGTCAAAGCTGGGATTGACCTTAAGGCAACTAACGACGAAGGAGCAACGGCGCTCCATTGTGCTGCAGCATGGGGAGAGACTGTGTCACTGCAGATTCTGATTGAGAGTGGAGGAAATGTCAACGCGGCTAACAATGATGGAGAGACGGTTCTGCATCTTGTGGCGGGGAACCCTTCTTCCAGAAGTGGAGATGATTCAGAGACGAAGGCTAAGCTTTTGATTGAGGCGGGAGCAGATATCAATGTGGAAACAAAGTCTGGCAAGACGCCTTTGGGTTATGCGGTTGATTCTGAAGGCGAGGCTGTTGAGAAAATACTCCGCGAGATGGGGGCGGCGTAAGAGAAACAGAGCAGAGCAACCAAATCTCACCAGTTCTGGGTTTGGGTCTTTTGATCGAATTATTAGCTTCTTAATAGCAAAACAGTCTTACTATATTATTCTTAGTAAAAGGTTATGCCCGATCCACAAGAGCCCAAGTATGGTCAGCAATCTTCTTTCTCTCCTCCTCACTCCACTCTTTCTTCCCTCCAATCACCTTTCCATGATTATCGATACAAGCCCAGGAAATCTCCTTCGATTGTAACTCATCCGCCGCTTTATACAGTCCATCAAGTTGTCTTTCAGCGCATTGCTCAGGCTGCAGACCAACCAATCTCGAAGCAACCTTGGACACAGCTCGGAAATACCAAGCTGAGTTCTTCGGCGTCGCTGTGTTTACAACTCCGGGATAACCATGGGCGAAGAACTGTTTCGCAGCTTTGTTTTCAATGGCGTGATACTGTATCATTGCATCATTCATGGTGATGCAGTGGTTTGCTGCGTGAGCCAGACTGAAGGTTTCTTTGAGGTCGAGATCATCCCAATTCAACTTCTCAGGACTAGCATTGAGTCCATCCAGAACAAGAAGAACTTTCGCATCTTGGCTTAGAATGGGCATGAGCTCTCTGATCAGGAGCTGACGACCGTAGTAGTGTAACGCCATCTTCCTGTCAATCCCCTCAGGTGTTTCCGTCCGTCCAGCGAATGACATGATTCCTTGCGTCATCACGACAAGATCAAGAGGACTGTTCTTGCTATCACTTCGGAACTCTTGCGCAAACTCCTTAAGAGCGTGCATTGATGTCGCGTCGACGGAGCGAAAAGAGACTTTCTCAGCTGGCATAGCCTGAGGCTTTGTGCGGCCTACGATAGTTATTGCTGAGAACTGGTAATTGGGTGATGTTGCCAAACGGCTGGCGATTGCGTAGCCGATGCCGCTGGTGCCGCCCACTACCAGGGCGTTAGAGCCGGAAATGACTTTGTTCATGATGAAGATGAGATGAGGAGAGGAAACGCAGCGTCAGAAAAGATGCGGGGGATGAAGAACAAGATATAGCGGTAGATGGTATGACAGACCAGTCAAAACTGCTCTAAACGAGCAAATGAGCATTATTTATACTGAAAGAGTGTCATCAATGATAAGAGTTGATTCTGTGCCGCTTTCATGCGCGCTGATCACTAGTGCTTATGTTGTCGCCTAATCGTCTGCAAAAGGAGATTTTCCATGCTAGTCTCACATTTCATCACATCTCATCCCAAGTCCGAGTCCGAAAATATGGGAGGTGTCCGTCTACATCCCATCGACGCATGGCTTACTTCTTTAATGAACGTATAGTCTCTTCCATATGAGCAAAGGCAAATTCATCCATCACCTCCCTCCAGATTCTGTCCTGAACACTCTTGCCCTCTTCAGTGTAGTAGTAGAAACCGAATCTGGGATCTGTTAGCGACTTGTGGAAAATGTGTTGCAGAAGTACATACGGGTAAATCTTCCAATCCATGATATATGATCCATGTGATTCTTCTCCCTTGATAATCGCGGCATCAATATAGGATGAGGCAGATTGTTCCTGTGTATGACCCACTAGTCTTGTTCCTATGGCCATACCTATCTTCATCAGCCAAGAGCCTTTGTTCATAAGGCCTGTGCCCTTGGTCAATCCGGGATCGATAAGGTTGATGATAACATCACTGGGGTCAACGTGTTGAGATAGTCTGTCGATAAAGAGATGACCGAGAAGCTTGGACTTTCCGTAATGCCCCATGCCATCGAAATTGCCTTCTGAGTCAAGAGCGGATAGGATATGGTCTGCCTTGGCTTCGGGCAACTCGCAATGCATGGCTGTCCCTGAACTGACGATAGTCAGGCGGCCTGGCTTAGGAGCTGGTGCCCTACTCTTGAGTATAGGCAAGAGAATAACGGAAAGATACATGGTAGAGAGAAAGTTGACTTGTATTGTCTCTTCATGACCTGTATTCTTGTTTAGGTGGAAAGTTATATCGCCCATGCCAGCGTTGAGAATGACAAGGTCTATCCTAGACAGAGTCTCGCAGCGCTTTGCAAAGCCTTCAACGGAGCTGTAGTCCCCCATGTCGAGCCTCCAAACATCGATTTGGGAACTTGTTGACGATGCTGTCCGACGAAGTTGCTCAGCCGCAGCATTGCCTTTATCTTCAGACCTCACGGCGATGATGAGATGGCTCAAGTTATGCTGGAGCAGAAGCTTGGCACATGCAAAGCCGATTCCATTATTTGCTCCGGTGATGATCGCGGTTTGGCCCGAGAGGTCGAGATCTTTGGGGGGCAACTGTGGCTTGCTGCATAGTTGGGCTTGGATGAAAAGTTGGCCGACGGATAGGGTAAGTGCAGGCATCTGTGAGGATGCACTTTTGAAGGGAGATAGGCTCTTAGCCATGGTGAGTGTTCAGAACTTTAACTTGAGAGAAGAAGCTGAGTACAAAGTAAGAACTAAATTTAAGGATGTCGCTCTCCAGAGAAACAGCTTTCCTTTATATTAAAAATTCACCAACACGAACTGCGCCAGTCTATCGTACTACTCTGTCGTGATCGACATACAACTAACCAAGCTGGGATAACGATGTGGTCTTCATATCTTAAAAATGATTCACTAATTCACGGCATTAGATTTTTCCTTTAGCTTTTTGTCTGATGGTAACCCTCTCGCATACTCCTCCTATGTTTTCGGATCGGCCCTCGCCAAAACGACCAGATTGATGTCTAAACGCGGTTAGTGCTCATGATAAGATCTGCGGTAACTCGGAGTCCTCCAAAATCCGAACAGGCCCGAGTTAACGCTTAGCCTAATTCAGGCATCAGTCTGGTCGAGGTGCGGGTCCATCCATGGCGAAGCATCGAGGCTGAGTAGATGCGAGATTTGGACCAGATTGAAGCCCCTTTTCGGGTCGGTCATCATCACTTGACCACCATCCGTAAACATATTATTCAATGTCAGCCACTGAGTTCAAGTTTCTTACTGTTGATGGCCATGGCCGTCCACTCGAACCTGGTAGTCGAGCCTCGATCCGCAGTCGGTGTATGAAGGGGGTCAACGTACGCCAGGGCTCGCGCCGATCGATGAGAAAGGCGCGCAAGGCATCCCATAATGCTTCGGTGTTACAGGAACCCACGTCCTCGCATCAATCAGCAAGTTGCGAGCCTCTTGTAAAGTCGCTACAGCTCCGAACTCATGAGCTTAGCTTTAACTCATCTCCCTTGCCATCTACTGCATTGCGGTTAGGTATGCATTGTGGATTCGCATTAGAGATTTGGTCATCAGTGCTAATGGGAGTTTCAGTCGTCAAGTATAATGCCTTGCTCGATGCAACATATCCTCTTGAGAGACACCTCGAGAACGCAGATGACAACCCTATTCAAAGAATGAACGACTATTTGACATTGTTGAACGAGAATAAGATTCTGCTAGAGTCGATATTCCTCGCTACATATGCCGTGGATGATTTGTGCTCTGGAACCAAGATATCACCCCGATCGCAGCAATCACTCTGCACCATCCTCTCGTCATTGAACAACAATCTTCACAGAGCTTCAACACAGCAATCCTATTCCACCATACTCATCATTCTGATTCTACTCTTCGCAGCCGAGTCATTTCAAGATTTTAACGCTATCACAACTCACCTGGTCGGGCTCAGGAGGTTACTGGAATTGCGCGAGACGAAACCTGTGCCAATGGACTCGAAACTACTGTTCAAGATCCAGCAGGTCGATCTTAGGACAGCGTTAGCAACGGGTCGTCCATTGTACTTCCCATTTGCTTATTCATACTCGCAACAGCCTGTTGGCGTCACGAAGCCGCCAAGAATTATGCCCTGGCTGATGGTGCACCCCAATTTGATGAGCTGCTACCAGACATTGCAGGCTTTATCAACTCATGCGAACCGGCATCAAGCTTCAAAGATTGGACCTCTTCTCAACTGGGCAGACTTCCAATCTCAGGTTAGCACGAGTCAAACTCACCTGATCGGTCTTGGGAGCAGCCAGCTGCCTCGCGGGTCTGAAGCTCTGCGACTTGGTATGCTTGCGTTCTTATCCACACTCTCGCGCAGTCCGGCGCAAAAGCCTCGTCTACCCATATTCGCTTCACAGCTTGAGGAGTGCTATTTTGCCATGAAACGAGAGCAAGATCCCTACATGCCATTGCTTATTTGGCTGATGTTGATGGGCTGTATCTCTACTATCGACACATCGAGCTCGATATTGTCAGTATGGAGATATTGTGTCAAGCCGGACCTCTCCTGGGGAGATGTGCGAAAAATGGTTGGCGAGTTGCCGTGGATTCAGATGATACACGACGAGCCCGGAGAACGAAACTATTGGCTCCTACAAGCTCGAAGGGGCGACGGGGGCTCGTAGTTCAGCCATACACATAACTTCAGATCTAACGCAGCCCCATCCTTATGGACACAGGGTTCTTGACTGCCTATGACTGGAAGTTATAGGCTAGTAGTGATTACGGCCACATCTGTGCGGAGAATGTCACTGTAGTGATTTAGTCACAGGTATACGCATATATCTAACAGACTTTAATATTATGAATCACGATGGGCTTTCCACCTAGACGAATAAGTGTACCTTAGCATTGGTGTTGCAGAACACCTGAACTACCACCTGAAAGGTACATGCTCCCCTCTGACCTGTGTAGGCTGCTGATTACTGGACCTGAAGTAACAGCCATCTCGATGAGCAGATTGATTGTACTGTCTCGATCTCGGCATGATGTCGCTCCAGCTCGCAAGACATTCCCAGCAAAACTCATGGCGGCATAGCGTACCTATCACTGAAGTTAGGACGAGTCTAGTGGGACTACTGGTGAGGTGACTCACAAGTCATGTGGAAGCAACCCGGGCCTTTCTGTGTATTGACTCCGCATGAGGGGCACTTCTTTGTGTTGGCATTTACCCAGTCTTGAGTTTCACGGAACCGAGGGTCTCCATTCTCCTGCATGCTATCAAACTCTTCGCATGTCAAGTCAACATGCCATTTGACCTGGTGTTGGAAGCACATCTCGTAACCGCATTCCTTACATGAGACGTGGTTACTCTCGATTAGGTCATGTATCTGTCCATAGGAACAATTCTCGGCAAGACACCATCGAAAAGAAGGCAGGTTGCTCAAGGCCTCTAGCTTCAAGTAGTCATCGTATCTGCGAGTGTGTTAGGAACTGGTTTTCATCATAAAGACTAGAAACATTGCTTACTTTGAAAATGTCTCTTGTCGCGCATATAGTTTCACCTCGTCGTATTCAAGTCGCCGACCGCAATTGAAAGAAGGGCAAGCAAGTGAATGACATCCAGCTCTCCCATGTTGATCAAGCTGACCCTCAATATAGTTCTCCAAGCACCCCCTGCAGAAGTCAACGGTATGAGTACACCTCTGTTCAAGCTTGCGGGGAAAAGGAAGAACCTTCCACTTCCAGTCCCCATCAAAATCACCGCAAATGGTATCCCATTTTGTGAAGGCTTCACCAATTAAATCATAGATAGGCTCAGCGCAGATCGAACATTCAACTGGAGACTGTTCTCGTCGCAGAAGTTGTGTGAAGATAGGGACACGCAATATCTCGTCAGTACCAGTCAGCTCGAGAAGCTGAAGGCGTTTGGAGTTCACATTGTGTGGTACACCCTCTTCTAGGGTCTGAAGTTCTGATATCGCAAGGCCGAATAATGGTTCCATAACACCATTGGAAGTAAGATGTTGGTGGAGGCGCTTGGCGGCCTGACGTGCTTCTAAAGTTGGCTGCGGATCAAGGCTGTCGAGCATTGACACAAGATGCTGTGCTGTATCATATCTATTCCACAAAAGTCAACAGTTTGAAGCTAGGGAACTCTGAAAACACCTACATTGTCATTTTTTCGTCTCTATCCTGGACTTTCGTGAGTTTAAATAGTCTCTGTAAAGCCCCACGATCCTGGAAAGCGATATCAGCCGAACAGGCACCGCAAGGACATCGCATTGGAATTGTTGACCCTGAAGTTTCCCACCAAGTTTCAGGTAGTCCCTGTATAGACTTGACAACAGATCCAAGATAGCAGACCAAGCAGATAGAGGTACTGCAGGTGATAGGCCGTGGGAGACTCGTGGGGAACTCGTCGACGAAAGGGTATAAACTATTGGGGTTGGCTTGTTCGAATCTCATCTTGTGACAAACAGCGCAATGGCGCAATGATAATGAATCCAGGTCTTGCTCGTCAAAGCACTCTTCAAAGGAGTCAAACAGACATCGGGCCTCATCAGCACTGAGGATAGTGTCCAAAGGACTCTTTACATCAGACGCCGCATTCTCGATTTCGGAATCATATAATCCATCTCCTTGGAGTGCGTTGTGATTGCCATCAATAGACTGTGATCTCGATAGAAGTTTGCTAATCCAGATCCCTCTTGGTGTTGTTTCTAGCATTCCTAGCGGATGCCCGACACTCTGCGCTCGCAGCTTATCAAGTTCATCTACCATTGTCTTTTTTTCGTTTAGACTTGCTTGCATATCAATATTCATTTTGCAGATTTTCTGTAGCCTGGAAATCGATTCTTCAATCTTTGTCGCTAGTTGCAGGTTGAGGGCCTTGTTCTTGTCTAAAAGATCATTGACCGTGCTTTGCAAGTCTTCGATTTGCTGGTGCATTTGAATGAAATTGTTGGCAGGACTGTCAGTCATGGACTCTGCAGATATGATTGGTGCCGAGAGGTCATCATCACAGCCGAACCAAGGAAGCTCAGAAAACCTCGGAATGTGCTTGGCCATGGCATGGATGGATTGCGGTAGCTGGATTTGACTAGTATGTATGTCTAATTGAATCTGTTGGGAAGATGACATGTTTAAGATGGAGGAAGGTGGCTCATAGGATGTAGAGGAGTGGGAGTTTTGGTTGTAGTAATGTTTAAGAAGGTCAAGATGAGTGGTATCCACGAGAAGAGCCCCCGTTTTTATTGTCAAGACCGACGTCACAAGTGCAAGCCTTTTCTAAATGTACTCATGATCAAGTCCTACGTCTCGAGTCCGTGGGAATTTGCTGGCCGCTGCAGCCGGACAAATCTGACTGGATGACAGAGAGGTCGGCCTCCCGCATGTATAGCGGGGCCTTGAAAATGTGAAATGTGAAGACATGGCGGAGCTCGTTGGTTGGGCTCGAGGATGTATTCCCAACCCCGCACTAGATAACACTTCTTAGAGAAGTTTACGTTGCATTATAATGGACGGGGTAACCTGCTGTACTTTTGCGTAGCTGATATCTGTTTACTCCCGATGCCAGGCATCTACCGGACCTTCTCTTTATCAGGGGACCGATTTCTTTCACGAGATACGTATACATTACACAAGCCAATCGATGGAGTCTTGTTTGCGCTTCTACAGATGCGGGCTTGGCTACGCAACTGGGCAGAGGTGTACTGCCTAGATCTCATGATTGCGCCACCATCCTGCATTCGTACTGCCAACACACAATTGACTCGGGAGGCCTGCCAACCGCTAAGGCCCAACATGCAGCTCCTAAACAAATACCTCATGTCGCCTCCAGCTTTTCCTCTTTCATTTTACGCTTCACTCCCGTTTAAATATTTTCCATAATGGTTAAAGTCAACGACAACAACCGGCGATGCTGCAAAGTATGCTCTACTTCTTTCAACACCCATTCCCAATTAGCAAAACATTGTTTAGATGCAGACCATGAAGGCAACCAGTGTTGTGAGTACTGCATCAGATGGTTTTGCAGTATAGAAGCCTTGCACCAGCACAATGAAGCAAAACATATGACCTTGCCGGCTGTTATACTATCTCAATACCAAGTGTTAAATGTCTCTGCACCTCAACCCCCACCGCCCTTTCACTTCCAAGACCAAAACTACAAAGGGTTCTCACTACTAGATAATTCAGTTATATACGACCGTCTCATTCGCAAATGCCATCATTCGGAGCGCCTCAAAAAGGAGGGCTATGTCTTGAGGGAGGAAACTCCGGAGAACGCTCAACAAGCCTCTATCACGAAGCAAACCATTATGGCTACTCGCCCTACCTCTCTCGAGCCCAAAAGAAAGGCAGTTGCCCTAGATTGCGAAATGGCAGGGGCAAAAAACGGTGAAAGTGAAATTATATCTATCTGCGTGATCGATTTCTTCACTGGCGAACTTTTGGTCAATTCTCTTGTCAAGCCTCATGAGCCAATTATTGACTGGCGTACCAACATCCATGGTATAAGGCCAGCGACACTCGCTATAGCCGCATCCCAAGGACAAGTTCTCCGTGGTTGGGAAGCAGCACGACAAGAGCTACTTAAGCATATCAACACAAAGACAGCAATGGTTGGACAGTCTCTCCAGCAAGATTTAAAAAGGCTTCGATTATCACATGGGAAGATTTTCGATACTGCTATTCTTACAGCAGAAGCGGTGTTTGGAACGGGCGCTTCCTTTGGTCGTCGATGGAGTCTCCAATCCCTCTGTGCAGACTTGTTGAAATTGCGGATTCGACAGGATTCCAACACTCACGATGCCTTGGAGGACGCTATGGCGGCACGAGAGGTTGCGCTGTGGTGTATATGCTACCCTGACAAGTTAAAGCAATGGGCAAAGAGGGCACATAAGAAACACAAGGCTGAAAAAGCGAAACGAGAGTGGCGGAAGCGAAATAAACGGAGGAACATGTATCACTCAGCGCCTGTTCGCGATGAGGAGTATGAGGATCGTGGATATTATCATGATTATGGTGACGAAGAGGATGATGAGATACTTCGATGGGAGGATGTGATAGACTGGGAGATGTGGCCAAAGTCTCCTCCCTCTTCTGATTAGCATTGCGAGACAAACATTTTGTCTGAATTTGCGATTGCTGTTTTCTATTTTTAGTTCTAAATCGATAATTGGTTTCTTCTGTACTTAAATGTAAGCCACAAGTCTCAACTGGAAGAAACCCATTTGTTGACTATCGCCCTTCAAGATTAGGTACAGTCCTATACATAGACAACGGCGACTACTGAACAGTGCTTCTACTCTCTCACGGGTTACACAGCTTTAATGTTCTGAATAAAATAAAATATGACAGACTCGACGTCGCTTCGGGGCTGAATTATGCCATGTAGTCAAGGAGGTAAATGATGATTGAGGATTGACAGGAAGTTAGCTAGCCCAATGATAATACATGAAGATTCAATATGCTACTTCAGAAGATATGGGTAGCACGTATATTTGTATATGTAAGCATCCTCAACGAGACGACACAAGAAGAAGACTGCTGCCGAAGAAAATGAAAACTTCCAAGCTACACTTGGACTTTTACACCACGAAGTAGCTTCTCCGCCCTGATCCATCGGCTTGGGTCAAAGAGATCGGGGCTATGTTCCTTCTGTTTCTCCTCAAGGGCATAATCCAAAGCTGTCTTCCCATGCACGTCACGGCAACCCACAGCCAGCTCTATATCACGGTAAAGAAAGTGTAGGACATCCTCTACCAGAGTTCCTGTTATGGAACTATGATGAAGAACGGTTCGACCCTGTGTATCCAAAGATCTTAGGTCTATGCCCCATTTTGCCAATGTCTGGAGTACACCCACAGAGCATCGGCGCGAAGTGCCGACTAAATGCACCAAACCCAACCCTTCTGTAGTTTTGAAGCTGGGATCTGCTCCGTAGCTAAACAAAAGATCTAGCAAATATTTGTCATCCTGGCGCGAAAAGAGGACATTGGCACTAATGTATAACGCCACGGGCGACATTCCTGCGCTGTCGAGATCGTTGATGCCATTACATCGTTCCAGGAGATATCGGGTGACAGGAATTTCAACACCATGTTTTCTCAAGAGGTGGTGAAGAGCATTCTTCCCCTTTTTGTCTTGCCGATTCAGGAAGGCTTCCATCTGAATGTCGGGAATGGTGGCCAGCAAATTTTGCAGTATTTGTAAGTGGCGAGCTTGAGCCGCGTAATGCAAAGTGTTAAGCCCGTTGGCATCCTCAGCCCTAGGATCAGCCCCAATCTTGAGAAGGTATGAAACAGCAATGACGTTCTTGCTCATAATGGCGACATGTAATGGCGTTCTGCTTTCCGTTGTGCACAAAGAGATATCAGCACCTCTGTCGATGAGCATCTGGAACACCATCGCAGTCAAGTCCTTTCTGCCAGCCGCAATATGCAACGGAGACATGCCAAAGATGTCTTGGGCATTGATGTCGGTTTTGGGGTTGTCCAACAGTAGTTCAATAATCGCCGACCTTTCCTTTCGAATCCAGGCCTTAGTTGAGTAATAGTTGTCCTCATCCTCCTCTGGATCGATCCACCCAAGAATACATTCCACGCGATTATCCGGATCATTCCAGAAGTCCATCCATCTTGGCCCATATAAATCTTCCTTCATAGCTAGATGCAGCGGCGTTTCGCCACTGTGCGAAGGAAAATTTGGGTTCGCCCCGTGATCCAGAAGGAACTTCGTCATGTTTTGGCTCCCTGTTATGGCAGCAAGATGCAGCGGAGTTAAGCCTTGCTCTGAGCATGAGTTACCGAGGACAATCTTCTCATTATTTTTTGTAACATATATCGCCTTGTTCTCTTGACAAGGGGATGTGTGAAGCTGTCTCGTCACTGGCAGATCAACCGGTACTTTGGCGCCGAGGAAGACCTTAACGATCGCTTCATTACCGGTGCTGACTGCGTAGTGAAAAGGAGTCATGTTCTTGACGTCGAAGTCCATAACAGCTCCTCCTTTGAGCAGACACTCGACAGAATCTGCCCAGCCGTTGAGTACAGCATAATGGAAAGCGGTCCTCCCTTCTGAATCTCGGACACTAGCAGTGACGCCTTGTTCTATGAGCCATTCGGCAGTACCTTCTCCCTGACCTTCTCCATACTTTGCATTCAATAGTAACCAATTTCCTGAAACCTTTGAATCCGAAGAGCGGAGTCTATCAATGGATGGGCAGTTGGCACTAGCGACTCGAGCATGAAGCGCACCATGGCTGAGAGAATATTCCAGGAGCGGAAAGACCTGTGTCCCGATTTCTTTGCTCTGCGAAAGCCGGTCCATCTCCGAAAAGTCGACGTCAAAGACGGGGAACAGCAGGTAAGTGAGGCATGTCGTTGCAATGGCCATGTCTGCATTCAGGAATTTCAGGTGTGTGTTTGCCCATATGGGCCACGTTCGCCTCAGGTACTCTTTTGTCGTGTAATGAATAAGATTAACTTTGCCGTTCTGCTCGTCAACGGCCACTAAGCCCGCACATACAGAAACCATATCTTCTATATCCATTAAGCTGTCTTCATCAATATCCAAGTCTGCCTCCTGGATAATAACAGCTGTTCGGAGCTCTTCAATAGTGAGAGGCCTTTTTACAAAAGTCAGCCAGGCCAGAACATCCTTAGCGACGGCTACTCGGTGTTCGTGCTGGCTCTCTATTCTTTCAAGAGCACACTGATAGGCTTTGTCGTATGCTGATGCACCGGTTGGCAGGGTGCTGAGGGCATCTTTTAGCCTTTTAACAGACATTAGACCTTGAAGAGAATCAAGATGTAGTCGTGCCAGAAGGAACCTGTGTTTTTTCAGCTTTAGAAAGCTGACTAGATGATGGATTGGATCAACTCACATCCCTCCACTCGCTCCTGGGATCGCTTTATAGACATCCTCTTGAAGCTGTTCGTTGTTCACGACGAATCTACCAAGTTTCGGCAGGGTTTTAGCAAGGTACTTACGAATATCTGTCTCCCTGGCATGTACTTCCAATACAGTACTCCCTTCCAATCCCTTGTCGTTGGAAATCTCAGGGATGACACGAGAGGTCGCCAAAATATTAACGCCTTGTAAGCTTCTAAGCTCCGTCATGAGCTCTCTCCACACGAGACACTCATCAAGGCCATCAATGACTATGAATGTTCGAGAAGTCAAGCATGCCACAGTGTTTAATGTACTTTTAATCTCTTTTAGCGAAGGCCGAGTGTCTCTCTTCTTGTGCGTGGTATGCAAAGTCCTCATTGCCTCTGGCAGAGACTCGTGGCACTGAGCAAGCTGCTTGAGGATACCCGAGAGAATGAGGTTAATGGTTTCGCTGTCCTGATGCCTGAAGTCACAGTAGTGATAGGCTATGCCGGTGTTGCCGTCATTGCTGAAGAGGCTTTGAAGATGCCGAATCACAATGGAGACTAGGAATGTCTTCCCTGCTCCAGGAAGGCCTGGACAGAACAAAAGTCCATCTTGGCTTTTGATCCAGTCCTGGAACTTGGCTGAGGTGAGAAACCATTCACAGGTTCCCTCTTCGTGTTGATCTAGTAAAGAGCTTTGGCGTGACCCATTGTCAGAAGGCCCGAACCAATCAAGTATTTCATGAAGATGCTGCTGATCTACTCGCTCGGTGATATGATCGTTTTTTAGTTCAAATTTGGAAAATCTTTGGCTATAATCTTTTCAGTTCATGATGCTTCTTAGAAAGAAATGTGACGAATACCTATATATCTGTCTCCAGGCAGCACCGAGTAGTTCAAGATTGAGCGACAACTGTGTTCGGAATTCTTGGACATCACCATTGCTCCAGTTCAATCTTGTCCAGGCTTTCTTCGCATGTTGGACCATGCCCGTACTGCTACTTCCAATTACTCGGAACTTATCAAGCTTGGCGAGAAGACTATTCAAAAGGCATGTTGAGTCGTCTGTGACTTTTTGGAGGGTTCTTCGCTGCTTGATATCAAGCTCCCATTCCGATGAAAGGATGTCAATATCTAGGATGACATTATGAAAGTTTTTGAGGCTTCCAGTCAAGTGAGTATTCTGTACGTGAAGAAGGAGAGTGGCTTACTCTTTTGATATCGCATCATACTGGCTAGGGGCATCTACGAATCGCTTGCGAGCTTGATGAATAAGCTCTAGAATCTTAATAAAATCGCCTACACCGACCCCGATACTCATTTTGTCGTTGAAAATGAGACGTACAAGAATCGCAGCTGAAACCTGTGACTGCTTTAATGGGAAATGATACCTGTTACGTGCTCTCTAATTATATAAACAGGAACCTGAATGCCCAAGATGCTAATGCGTATATTTTAGGCAGCAATGTGGCGCACTTGAGGTTAAAAATGCGCCTACATCTCAGCCCCTTATCAGGTGGCAAGGCAAAGCGCACTACTTCCGTAAGCCAACCAGTCATGTGCTAAAAAGTTAATGCTTGTAAACAATGTTTAATTATTGTCTCTTGCGGCCGCTATCTATCTTTCAGGATAGCGAAGAGAAGATTACCAGTCTAAAGGTTTGGTATTCAAAACGGCGATATTCAGAGATTAAAGATAATTGAATGCCGAAGCAGAAGTTGGGTGTATTGGTGAGGTATACAGGGTAGCCACGGTGCTATAGTGGATGACAGTTGAAATGATCTCTTACACAAATCAGCTCAAGAACTGAAATTGAGAATATGATTTTGACGGTTTTATGGCCACCGAAACGTAGCACGTTTTCGTACTAGGTAGTTTCTGCTAAACCTCCGTTTAGTAGGTATATCTTTCTTGCGTAAGGATTGACCAACAAACTGTCAAATAAAAGCTAACCAGAGACAAGAAATGAGTTGATGTAATGGCTACAGTAATAAGATTATCAAGGCAGCAATTACGCCACCAAGAGACAAATAAACCTTCACTGATATTAAGTTTTGAGATACTGGCCTGTTATAGGGGCCTTACTGTTTAAGCCTCTATATAAAAGCTAAAAGCTTGATAGCCTTATAAGGCTGATGGGAAGGAGTAAAAAATAAAAAATAAGAAAAAAAGGTAATAAGATCGGCAGGCCAAAAGAGGCCTCTGCCTCATCGGATTCTCTGGGCTCAAAAACCAAAGATCTAAGCGTCCCTTTCTGGTTGCATTTTTCACTTGGCATGGCTCTCGCCACTCTTTCCATTGATAGAGCCTTAACGTATCAGCAAGTGACAAGAACTCTATATTTGGGTACACCGCCATGAGTTTGACGTATCCGATTGCAGACCTCGTTTTGCGGTCCTTCATATTGCGTCCGCCGTATTCCAAAGAGAGAAGTAATGATCATGGAAGCATGGAGTTCCTGTTGTGAATCTAACAGGCAAATTGCCAGGGAGCCAACAGCACCAATCACTATGCAAGTCTTGCCCAATCAGGTAAGCTAGGCGTGAAACGCCGGACCGAGGCTCGATAATTGTCACCGTATCCTGTTAGATCTGTATTACTCGCAGCGCAGAAGTTCTAGTGATGCCAAAGGTCGGTCGACTAAGAGCCAAAGAATTTTCAGCTCGTTGGAGCAGCTTCTCGATTCAGTCACCAGTGAAGGCCGCTGATGTCAGCGCTTGCAATAGCCTAAATGGAGTAATGTTGCAGGGAGTCGGCCTAAGCTGACAGTCTAACTTTAAGTTATTGGTTCACAACTTGGCCCTTTTGCGAAAATATGATTCTCGTATTGTATGAATACCTGGTGTTTTCGCCAAGAGATATCTGGGCATCCAATTCACGGCATCCAATCTTATCACCAACACCATGAAGATCGGCGCCTTTCTCACCTCTGCGCTTGTTGGCGCCGTCACAGCCGCTGATACACTCTACCTCGTAAACTCCTGGAAAGGCAGCGAGATTTCCAGCGGAATGGCATACTATGCCGACGGACACGACGCAACCGGCGGAACCGGAGGCTCTCGTCCCGATGATTACGTCGATGTCACCCCCGGAAGCCACATTATCTGGGAAGGTCAAGCCGTAAAGGGTAAGTCTTCCGAAAGCCTGGGGAAAGCAGACACTCACAAGATTTTAGGCACTTTTGGCACCGGCGTGTCCTTCACATCAAATATCTTTGCGGATGCGGCCACCAAGCATGACAATGCATGGGCTGGCACGGGTACCAATGGGTACCATACGTATAACTGCTGGAAGCGTACTGGAGCTGTTGGAAAGCCGGTGGTTTTGTACATTGTTGATGGCTGGACTGTTGAGACTGTCTACTATTGCCGACCCTTTAATTAGAGTATGGTGGCTTGAATGGATCTGTTGCGACCCTGTAAGTCCTTTCGCAGTTACTGATTGGTGGCTCGGTTACGGCATATTCGAACTATATTTCATGGTGATAAACTTTTGAATCGACAATTATTTCTATCATCTACTACTAGTTACTGTTTTCACATTTTGAACTTTTTTTCCCCGCTTGCTTTTATTTCGTTATTGCCATGAAACAAAGAAGTTGGCCACGAACTATAGGATGACTACAGCCTATAAGGTTAAGCTTTAGGCTATAAA